TTTTTGTTTTGTTTTTATTCTATATTGCTACACCTACCTCAAATTCTCACCGCTAGAGAATGCCTCAAGGCATTAAGTCCGCCCTTTGTATTCTTTTAGATTAAGGAATCCAATAAAGAATAAATAAATAAATAAACTTTAATAACTGATGTTAAGTATCTCCCGCCCAAAGAGTGATCATTTGGTCATTCAGGCTTCTATGCAGATAATTAGTATCATTAATAAAGTGGCTAAAATGGAAAAGATTTTTAATTTTTATAAAGCTGACTATAGCAAAATTAACAAATATTTAGCAGAAAACCTTAACATAATTGAAAACCAAGTAGAAGAAAAGTGGCTGTCTTTTAAAAATCAAATACATACATCAATTGAAAATTGTGTAAAAAAACTGAGATAAAATAAATAAATCAAATAAGAAACCATGGATCAATAAGGACGTTTTGGATTTAATAAAACGGAAAAAAGAATTATGGAATATAATATATAATATTAATAAAGGAGAAGATTCATACCAAAATTATAGAAATATTAACCATAACTAGAATCAAATGTTACAGATTCTGGACCAAAAGCTTTCTATGGAAACATTAGACGACAACTTAAATCTAAAGTCACCATTCCTAACTTTCTTAAAAACGAGTCACAAGAACTTGTAAATGGACCACAAAAAATCGCGAAGCTATTTGCAGATAAGTTCCTATGTAAGAGAACTAGATAGACCAATTCCCTCCATAAATATGCCAAAAGTAATAAACTCAATGGATGACGTAAAATTTACAGCCGAGATTGTTCGTAAGACCTTGTTAACATTTGATGATACTACTGCTTCTGGTCCTGATGGAATACCATCCATATTACTAAAGCGATGCGCAGCATTGCTTGCCGAATATATATCAAGCATTATGAAAAATCCGTTGGGAAACACTATTGAGGTCATTGAGCATAGTGCTTAGGTCCTCCAGCGATTCTGCCATAAGGACTATATCGTCGGCAAATCGAAGGTGAGTGATGTACTCGCCATTGATGTTGATACCGTATCCTTTCCAGTCCAGAAGCTTGAAAACGTCTTCCAATGCAGCGGTGAAGAGTTTCGGGGATATGACGTCACCCTGTCTTACACCTCTCTGCAATTGGATAGGTTTCGTACTCTGGTTCTGTACTCGGATAGCCATCGTAGCCCTACTGTACAAGCACTTCAACACTTCGATATACCGACAGTCAACTTGGCACCGCTGAAGGGACTGCAGCACCGCCCAAATTTCGACGGAATCAAAGGCTTTCTCATAGTCCACAGTAGAACCAGAGTAACCGACATAGCCCAACGGATTAGTAAGCTGAAGTGGCAGTGGGCCGGCCATATAGCTCGAAGAACCGACAACCGATGGGGAAGAAAGGTTCTCGAGTGGCAGCCTCGTACCGGTAGGCGAAGTGTAGGGCGTCCCCCCACGAGATGGAGTGACGACCTGGTAAGACATGCAGGAAGTCGATGGATGCAGGTGGCTCAGGACCGTGCTTTGTGGCATTCTTTGGGGGAGGCCTATGTTCAGCAGTGGACTTGTGAAGGGCTGTAATGATGATGATGATGATGATGATTATGAAAAATCCATGGATGATGAAAGCTTACCCGCTGACTAGAATAAAGCTACAGTCGTACCTATATACAAAAAAGGAGGTAAGCTGAGATCTAATAATTACAGACCAATAAGTCTAACAAGTACCCTCTGCAAAGCCATGGAAAAGATCATAACTGAAAGATTAAGAAAATTTATATTACAAGAACAACTGATTTTAGATGAACAACACGGATTTGTACCAAGGCGATGGAATGGGTTACAAATCATGACAATGAATTTCCCACAGATGTGATATATCTTGACTATAAAAAAGCTTTTGATCGTGTACCATTGCGGCGACTTATATACAAACTAAAACACTTCGGTATACGCGGGAAATTGTTGGCCTAGATCAGTGATTTTCTTTCAGACAGAACATTCTGCGTACGAGTTGGAAATATCATGTCTAAACCCAGAGAAGTACTCAGCCGAGATCCGCAGGGATCTGTTCTTGGACCATGATATTTATCCTATATTTATCAGAATTGATGTATGTACGTATATATTTGTATAAATGTATGAATAGGATATATTTTTTATAGTTTATTTATTATATATATATTATTAGTTAAATGTATATATAACGTAATTAATTATCATTTCTATTTAGTTTTTATTCTATATTGCTACACCTACTTCAAATTCTCACCACTCCATGGGTTGATTGGTAGAGAATGCCACAAGGCATTAAGTCCGCCCTATTATTTTAGATTAAGGAATGCAATAAAGAATAAATAAATAAATAATAGTGCCAAAACTTTAGGTAAATGCACACCTGCATATTTAAAGTGCTCAATACTGAGACCATCGTGACCGGGTGACTTACCTGTAACCATAGTTCTTATAACATGTGCTATCATTTTGTCACTCGCTACCATTTTGAGTTCACGCTTGGTCTCAGTATTGGACACGGGGTGTGACGTCGGCGGGTGACGTGACCATAAACTGATCCCTGAAAAGATTTGCAATTTGCTTCATGTCACTAACCCCATTTACTGCTTCAGGGAGACTAGGTCCAACGTTGAGCTTATTCGTGGACTTCCAAAACTTCTTAAAGTCTTGTTTTGAATGATAAGTAGCCAATTTGTCCATTTTTAGTTGATTCTGATAATGCTGGCTGGGAATGCATGCTGTGGGCTATTTTGCTATGGGGACGCAGCTGACACTGAAATTATATTTGTTTTACAGAAGAGGGCCATAAGAGCAATTTATGATTTAAAGCCTAAAGAGTCGCTGCGACAAAAATTTAAGGAAATTAATATATTAACTTTGGCCTCTCAATACATTTATGAAAATGTAATGTACGTACACAAAAATAAAAGTAGTTTTACAAAAATAAGTGATATTCATTCTGTAAATACTAGGAACAGACACAAGCTAGTAGTACCAGTTACTCGACTCCATCGAGTCAGTAATTCATTCTTGGGGCGATGTATACGCTTTTACAACAAAATTCCAGAAAATATACAAAATTTGACCTGCTCAAATTTCAAAAATTTTATTAAACTAAGTTTGTATAAAAAGGGTTATTATAATATTAATGAATTTATAGATGATAATAACCCCTGGAAATGAGGTGATCGCTACCAAGCTATTTTTAATTTGTTGTGTTGTTAATTTGTGTAACATACATGATTATAAGCTGTTATTTAAAAAAAATAAGTCCCGCTGGGTTTCTTGCTGGTTCTTCCCAGGACAGAGGTTTTTTTTTTTTCGTACCAGTGGTAATCATACAAAAGAGTGGCTTTCAATAAGTATTATTTATAATCTATATTGAATAAAAAAGTTTCTGTTTCTGTTTCTGTTTCTGTATGCCGCTGTGTAATGCATGCCGTACAACTAGGCCTCTGTCACTCTTGCTACCTGCGTGAAATAATTACCTACAATCGCAAGCCGCCCCCGGGGCAGAACGCAGTCGGGGCTAGCGCGTTCTAGGCGATTGAATGTTAAAGTTTTTAGCGCTGTTTACGTTAACGTTACACTGTTAAAATTTTTTTTGTAAATACTTGTTGAAATATTCACCGAAATAGTTTTTGTTTAGTGTTTAGTATATTTAATTGTAGGATAAAATAGTTGGAAAAGTTTATTATATATTTATACCTATGTATAATGTATAATATTACCTATCTATTTCATAAATTATAATGGCAAAACGTCATTCCTACTATAATTATTGCGTGGATAGATGCTTAAGGATTCAGATATATAATTTTTTAAGTTACCGAAGGATAATGAAATGTGAATTTATTTCATTTTTCTTGTTAGATACCTAGGTACTTATAGCGAAAAAAGAATGAGGGCACCCGCGACTTTGTCTGCCACCAGGGCGGCGCCACTTTACAGTGAGATAAAATATTTGACAGATTTCATAGCGGGGACGATAATTTTTTTAGGAAAATGTAAGCTTTAAGATTTCTTTCTGTATTATTAGTTATATTTTATATTAATTACATTTGAAATGAATAAACTAAACCTTAAATATAACTAAATGCTGTTTTTTATTTAACTAGAGAAGTAATATCTAAGTACTTTATTACAAAACTTAGTTAAAATTTACTTCACTATCCAAGTACCTGTTTATATATCTATACTTGTCTTTTGTAATTAAAATTTTTTAAGTTATAATAACACAAAATACTGAAATTAAAACTTTGTTTAGAAGATTTATAACTAAGTAGAATACGATCACATTTCTGTTAGGAATATAATATAATCTAATAGAAACGTATTTCGGGTTTATTTATTGTTTACACTATCTACTATGTCTTATGAGCCAAGCATCGCGATCCCCGACGAATGGCCTTGCAAGTTGCATGCGTTGGGTATCACAGAACTCACATAGTACCGGAAATATGGTCGATCATAGTCAGAATAGGTTACAATGTATTTTTTACTCTTTATGAACACCACGGAAAGTCCGTTGTGACGTACACTCGCGCGCAGCGATAGATTTATTTAGCTTGCGTGCGCGATTTATCTGATTAATAATAACTATGTACCTAGACTATTAAAACGTCGGCAAGCAGTCAACATCAAAGAAGTGCAACTTCTGTACATATTACAACTAAAATAAAAAACTGCGGTTGCCAACCCGCTTGCCAAGCGTGGCAACTATAGCAAATATCCTCACTATGAGGTATTTATGAGGGAGGCCTATGTGCAGCAGAAGACGGTAACGGTAACGGTGTAACACACTTGGGCATGTTATGAGCACATCTTTTCCGCGCATAGCGCATATTTTCTGAGGTTGTTGTCTTATTACAAATACCTACGGCTGGGGTTTGTACACAGTTAAAAATAATCTATGGACCAATAATAAAACACAAAAATTGCAGAAAATATTTAATTTGTATTGAAATGAAGACATCCTTAGAGGCTAAGTAAAGGTTAACCTAACGGTTCCTCTTCTCCTGAAAACACTGAAAAAATAAAAAAAAAGATTATATGAACTCAATAAAAATAAAATGTTAGAGGAAAGTAAACCTAACTAAACATGGGCTAGTGCTTTAATATGGGCTAGTAAAAATTCTAGAAAACAAATAATTGAAAGGCGTTGTAAACGAGTATCTTCTATCGCATTCATTCGCCCCCAAAGACATTTAAGTAGTAGTATACCTATATATTTAAATGTCTTTGATTCGCCCTAACACCGCATTCACTCTATCTCGTGAGTATCTGTGACCAGTGAGTACAGCGCGAGGTGCCGCTAGTGCAAGACGTTTTTGCTTCACCGCTGTGAAAAAAATTCGTAAGGTACGTAAAAATACGTTATTTTATTAATGATAACTAAGGCTAAATAGTGTAAATATATGTTTTATTTGTAGAATATAAGTTTAATTTTATAGTTGATTATATGTTTGTTATTTATGACTTGTGAAGTACAATGTCAAATTTATTTCGATCAAGAATTTCCAATATGGGCTATGACTATGGTCCTAAATATGGGCTAGCCTAAATATGGGCTAGCCCATATTTAGGTACTAGCACTTAGGTGGTTGGACATTAGTTTCTAAAGGAACTTTATTATTTTTTTCAGAATGCCACCGACACAATCAATACAGCCAAGAAAAAATTGGGATGTGGAACAAATGGTTAAAACCATAAAAGTAGTTCGCGATTTTATTGCAGCAGAACAATATGCTGTCAATGATCGATGCACAGATTTTACTCCGACAAAATCATCATCCAGTAATGAAAAACCATTGAATAACAATCCCAGATTGCCCCTTTCACCTAAATCTTTGACTACAATTCTTAATGACGACAATTTGATTTCTACCAAAGCATCAGTCTCAAGATCTAGATCTGAAACAGAAAATACACCTCAATTTGGACCTTCAACCTATACTTCCGGATATGACACACAGACAGAAACATCTATCTCTGGAACTGCACATGATCCTACACGTAATGACGAACCATCGTCTTCGGGAATTGATCGCAGCAGCCTAGACCTAGTATCTCCTTATGATTTATTTATTTATTTAACAAGTACACTTACAATATACATATATGACATTGTCACAAAAACTTAGACACTTTTATATTTTCTGATATGCATATCAATTACAAGTATATTGTATAAGTCCTGTACCAAAAAAATTCAGAAAGACGTCTAATAGGGGTAGAAAAGCTGCTGTGGCTTCTGTTATAACTTCGTCACCCTATAAAAGTGACCTTGTTGAAAAAAATAACAACAAAATAAAAAAGAATAGAAAACTAAAGACAACAAGGTCAATGTACATAAGAGAAATCCTAGAAATAAGAAGAAAAAAAAGAAGAAAACGACTAGTGAGGTTGAAGTGATTGACACTGAAGGCGAAGAGAATATCCCGTTTGATTCAGGCACTGAACCAGATGCAATAATCGGGATAGAAGCTCCAGACTCTGCGGATGCAGAATGTATGTTCTGCCAGCAACTTTTTTCAGAAAATACAGAAGGAGAACGTTGTATGAAATGCTTGATGTGTGAGCTCTGGGCACATAATGACTGTGCTGGGCCAGAATTTGATACTTGGATATGTGATTTTTGCAAGTAAAATAATCAATATTTCTTCTTCTTATCAAAATGAATTATCGATCTTTTAATAGAAATACATTTATACTTGTTATTTTATTAAAAGATAATTAAGTTTATATTTATAGCCCATATTTGAGTACCTGTTCCATATTTAGTGGCTATTTTGCTATTTTGTTTAATGCTCAATTTTGATAGTATAGTTTATAAATAAAAACATAAGAGTGTTACTTTGCTCTTTGAAAATATATGTCTGATTGTTATTACATTAATAAGAAGTTGATTTTTAACTAGTTATTTATTTTTGATCCAAAAACAAAATGGTAGCCCATATTTAGTTACTCTCCTCTCTATTTATTGCTCACCTTCAATGGGTACGCCCTGATCCTCTGTATAACCTTCCATACATTCAGGACAGACCGTTGTTTCACATGGACTAATTGTTGTCTCTGGGAACTCTGGCGTTAATTCTAGTGGTGGCGGCTAAAATATAACGCAGTAAATAAAAATTCACATAGCACTTGGTTAATTATGATGATCACGTTTCTTGTAATTGTTTGTTATTTAAAAGTTCCTAAAGTTGTTTTAACCATACTTTTAAATAAAAAGTAAAAACTTTCAATAAATAAGTTAGGAGCCAACTTTTGACTTTGTATAAAAAGTGAAATCGGTTTTAATTTTATAATAAAAGTTCAATTTTAAATAAAGTATAATTAACACATTACAATAATATTATGCTAATTTCCTATCGGGGTAAACAATAATATTAATCATATTTTATGTTTTCTTAAACGATAAAAATAAAATAGATGATGCGATCATTTAAAACTAAATCTAATAAAATAATGAAACAGAGCTACAAATACTACCTCTAAGCGGTATAAGTAAGATAGACGGCAAGGGTCCCACGTAGTGCAGAGAGTGGCGTTATGCATCATGTCTTTACGAGGCTCGTCACCGAAGTAATCAAAGGTTATTACGATATTATGATCGATGGCGCACATGCTTAGAAAATCAAGCAGTGATACCTAAAAAGACAAGTGCAGAAATTTATTACACAAATAGCTCATTCCCCGAATTCTCTGACAATTCCTTTTAGCATTCAAAAAAAGGAGATTTATTTATTCGACTCTATGACGTACGATTTGTATGTATGTTACACGATATCTTTGCCAATTCTGAACCGATTTTAATAATTATTTCTTTATTTAATAGGTTATACTTTAGGTGTGATCCCATATAAGTTTGAAATTTTTATTAAAAGTTAATTTTTCGGTCCTTTGAACCGGATACTCCTTTTTAAAATATATATTAACCGGAATGCACTCAAATATATATAAAATATCAAAAACTTAGTGCTTAAAACCAAATATCTGTACCTAGTTTTTAACAGTCAGTAAATGAAGACTTTATTGGGGACTAACGACCCACCCTGAAACAACGCTACATTCTTAATCTAAATCTCATGTCTTAATTACATGCAAATAACAAGACACTATTAAGACATGAGCTGTTCTAATATTAAGTAATACACGTGGCACCACTAAAAGTACCTATTTATCACAATTTTATGTAGGTACTGATTTACCATAATGTGTAACTCGTTAATGAAGCATTGAGAGTAAGTTAGCAGACTTGCAAAAAAGATATGTAAAGTCCGACAACGCGTATTGTGGCCTACTTATCGCGAGTAAATTCTTAATCAATTCGTAATATCTTTGTTGTAATCTACCTTAGTTTTATTGCCGCAGTCTAACGTCCCGTTTTGGAAATAGTTGTTATCCCTCTCGCCATTTCCGAGACAAAACATCCAACCTTGATGGAAAGAATATTCAATCGGTGCAACTTCGGCCTCAATGCAGGGATCAACAGCTACTGGTATAGAAGGCTTTCCGAAAGTGCATTTTCGCTCGTGCATATTTGCCTGCAGCCGATAGGCGTCTAAATCTGGTTCAGATCCTTCTGGACATGTGTAAAAGTTACCTGAAATTGTAAACGTGGTTTCATCTCAATTTTCTTAGGTTTTTCAGAGTACATTATAAGATAAATATTGTTACGAGCTTGGAGTTCGAGACAATTAAAAACTGCCGAGTTAATTACCAAAATTGGCACTTTAATTACAGAACACTAATTACAACATAAAACCACACTAATAACAAAACACAATTGTAATACCGATCACTTTAGTTCGCAGTTGTATCGCTTCGAAGTATTCCCTTGTATCGCCAACTCAACACTGACCAGGTCGCGGTCTATACCGGCCTTATATAGGGCGGCAGATTATTTCCAGAACCTTCTACTGTAGAAACATCTAGAATGTACGAGTACATACCGGTCCAGACTGACTAGGTGTCGATAGTTCTAGAAAGTTCTTCCATGGAAAATTCTAGAAGAATCTTGACTCTCCTAGTTCTGCTACTCGATACTAGAGGGCGCTAGTGGTAATTAGTGTTGCCATGTACCAGGCAGTAATGGTGGCGCTCAACAGTGCCCCCTCCTAAGACATGCTCGTCCCATAATAACGCGCCAGTCGATCTACATGGACGATCTTAAGAGTACCTCTTGCATATTTTTGTATCCGGTAGGTTACGTCATTGATTCTTGTCACAGTCCAGTACGGTCCGACCCATTTAGCTTGAAGCTTAGGAGATTTCCCTTTGCTGTGAACTGGATTGTGCAACCACATTAGTGAACCTTCGTCAAACCCTTTGTTGTTCATTTTGTGGTCATACCGGGTTTTCATCTTTTCAGACATTTGCTGGTCCGATTGTCTGACGTGCTCATAAATGTCATTCATTTTGTTCCGCAAGTCATTTGCATAATCGGTTATACTGCGTGGGGCATCAGGTGGTACTCTGGTGATCAGGTCTGCAGGCAGCCGTAATTCTCTTTCAAAGTTTGCAAAAGCTGGTGTCACTAATGTACTTTCGTGAACAGAACTTCGATATGACAACAAAAACGGTTGTATGTGCTTGTCCCAGTCTCGTTGCCAATTCTCCACAACTTTTGCTAGGTACCTCTCCAATTTCTGATTAAATCGTTCTACCATTCCATCAGATTGTGGGTTGTTCTTTTTTTATGAGTATTCATAATTCGGCAAGTTTCCTGGAATATTTGAGACTGAAATCGCTTGATCGCTGTGAATCTCTAAAGGTACTCCAAAACGACAGAAGACTTCATGAACTAATTTATCTGCAATTGTTGCAGCTTCTTGATTTTGAATGGCGGAGACTTCTGGTCACTTAGTGAAGAAATCCATCACAACCATAAAATACTTGTTATCACTTTCACTTTCCGGAAACGGCACCGCAACGTCAAGGGCTATCCTCTCCCATGGTGCACCAACATTGTACAATTTCAATGCACCTCTACTACGAGTCTCAGGTCCCTTTACAGCTGTACAACTTGTACATTTGCGACACCAGGCCTCGACATCGTCACGACATTGAACCCGGTAAAACCGTTCTCGGATCTTCAATAGAGTTCGTTTAACTCCCAGATGGTATCCTGAACAACCATTATGGTACGGCTGTAGAACATCCGGTACTTTAGCTTTAAGGACAATGATTTGCAAATGACAGCTGTCTCCCTGACCATTTTCCCATTTACGACACATGCCTCCATCCTGAATCAGCAAGAAGTTCCTTTTGGGCCCAATAGCTTATTGTGGTTGAACTCATCGCTGAGACGTCGCTCCACTTGGGCTTAAAAGCACTGGCCTTCATCCATTCCAGAGTCGGCTAGATGTCCGAATCTTCATGCTGTGTATGTTGTAGGCTGTTATACCGGCCTTATATAGAGCCTCATATAATTTCCAGAACCTTCTACTGTAGAAACATCTAAAATGTACGAGTAAATACCGGTCTCGATTGACTAGTTGTCGATAGTTATAGAAAGTTCTTCCATGGAAAATTCTAGAAGGATTTTGACTCTCCTAGTTCTGCTACTCGATACTAGAGGACACTAGTGGTAACTAGTGTGGTGGCGCCCAACAATATACTTTCCTAAGTATAATATGGATTAAATTCTGTTTCCTACAACTTGTAATAAGTTGAAGAAAAAAAACAGTGGTAGAGCTAAGCGGTAGCTTTTGCTGTCGCACGGATGGACCAGCTCGAACCGGGGTGGTACCACGACCTCACAGAATACCAGCGTGAAATAGAGATTTACCTCTGCGTTGCGCTTGGTGAGTGCAGGTGGCCGGAGGCCCAATCCCACCCTCCCCCCATCAACATGGTAGTGGAATGAAATAAAAGACTACCCCAGGAGGGTACCAGCACCCCTGGAGAATCCCTCGCTGAGCATCCACGACCAAACTACTTCACTCCTGAGCGTGGGTGCTCAGGCTGCCCCGCGTATTCTGTGGGGGGGCAAAATTCCGCTCGCGACTAATGCTGCTCGGGGCAAGCGGAGCAATACAACCAAGGCGACCCCTGTCACGCTATCCGTGAATTTTTGCAACATAAGGGGACTTCATTCCAACCTTAACGCTGTCCATTACCATCTAGAGACGGCGAAGCCGGCCTTGCTCTTTTTAACCGAGACTCAGGTGTCCTCTCCGGCTGATACTTCATATCTCTCCTACCCGGGGTACAAATTGGAACACTCCTTTGTGCCCCAGGCTGGGGTTTGCGTATACGTCAGAAAGGACATCTGTTTTCGACGCCTCGGCAGTCTTGAAGGTACGGACCTGTCCATCCTATGACTGCGCGTAGACAGCGACGACCATCCCCGCGTCTACAGGTGCCTCTATAGGTCCCATAGCGGTAATGCCGACACAGACCGACTCATCGACGTCCAAATGGCTGCAGACTCCGTGCTACAACAGGTCCCATCCGCAGAGATCGTGATACTTGGTGATTTTAACGCCCACCACGCTGAATGGCTTGGTTCTTGTTTAACCGATCATGTGGGTAGATCTGTCTATGACTTTGCTTTGGCATATGGTCTAACACAACTGCTTACTTCGCCTACGCGCATCCCAGATGTGGAAGACCATGTACCTTCCCTGTTGGACCTTCTGCTGACCTCTCATCCGGACGGATATCAGACCCATCGATCCATTCAGCCCCTCTGGGCTCTTCGGACCATTGTCTGATCCGGAGCACGGTGCCACTCACGCTCCAATCGCAGTTGCGATCTGCAGCTTGCCGCCGTGTTTGGCACTATAGGTCAGCTGATTGGGACGGGATACGGTCTTGTTTTGCATCCTACCCTTGGGGGCGGGTTTGCTTCTCGCCGGAAGATCCCAGCGTCGTTGCCGATTCTGTTGCTGATGTGATACTTCAGGGTATGGAACTTTTTATTCCATCCTCTGTGGTGCCCATCGGTGGCAGATCCCAGTCATGGTTTGGTTGCTCCTGTACAATAGCATCACGCTATAAGCAGGAGTGCTACCGGGCCTGGGCTGACGCATCAAAGTCTCGGGATGTAAACACCAGCGCACTTAAAAAGAAGTATAACTCCACCTCCAGGTCCTTCAAAAGCGTCATTGCCAAGGCAAGGTCTGAGCACATCGGCAGAATTGGCGAGAAGCTAGTTCGCCTTCCTTCGGAAACCCGTGCATTCTGGTCTCTCGCCAAGGCTGTCCAAGAGAACTCCTGTCAGCCATCTCTTCCATCTCTGCACAGAGAGGACGACTCACTGGCCCATGCCGCAAAGGAGAAAGCCGATCTGTTGAGCTCTCTTTTTGCGTCCAACTCGACTCTAGATGACGGGGGGAACACACCGCCGACCATCCCGCGATGTGAGTGCTCGATGCCGGATGTGCGGTTTACACAGCGCTCGGTTCGCAAAGCACTCTTCTCCCTGGACGTCAGCAAATCGAGTGGGCCCGATGGAGTCCCTCCCATTGTGCTGAAGACGTGTGCTCCGGAGTTGGCACCGGTTGTAACGCGTCTTTTCCGGTACTCCTACTCCCAAGGCGTAGTCCCGAATTCATGGAAGACAGCTTTGGTCCACCCGATCCCTAAAAAAGGCGACCGCTCAGAACCGTCCAACTACAGGCCTATTGCCATCACCTCCTTGTTCCCCAAAATAATGGAATCGGGACAAACTTGTGTCTGAAGTCGAGTCTTTGCTTAACAAATTTTCGGATTGGGGCCGACTAAATCTAGTCCAGTTCAATCCCCAGAAGACACAAGTTTGCGCGTTTACCACTAAAAAGAACCCCTTTGTCGTATCCTCAGTTTCAAGGCACTCCCCTTGCTGCCTCAGCTAGTATCGGAATCCTTAGCGTCGACATATCGAATAGTGTACAGTTTCGTGATCACTTGGAAGGGAAGGCCAAATTGGCCTCTAAAAAGCTTGGCGTGCTCAGCAGAGCGAGACAGTATTTCATGCCGGCACATCGCTTGCAACTTTACAAAGCGCAAGTTCGGCCCCACATGGAATACTGTTCTCATCTCTGGGCCGGGACACCCCAGTGCCAGCTCCTTCCACTTGACCGCATCCAGCGCAAAGCGGTTCGAATCGTCGACGACCGAGTTCTTTCTGATCGGCTCAATACACTGGCACTGCGTATAGATGTTGCATCTCTTTGCGTATTTTATCGCATCTATCACGGGGAGTCTCTATCTCTGAGGAATTGTTCGGACTAATTCCAGCCGCTCAATTTCACCATCGCACATCGCGACAAAAGTCGCGTTACCATCCAACCATCTGGATGATTGGCGGTCCACCACTGTGCGATTTAGAAGAAGTTTTCTCCCTCGCACAACTTCCTTGTGGAATCAATTACCACCAGCGAATTTTCCGGACCGATACGACTTAGGAACCGTCAAGAAAAGAGCTTACACCTTTCTAAAAGGCCGGCAACGCATCTGCAATTCCCCTGGTGTAGCGGTTGTTCATGGGCGGCGGTAGTCACTTACCATCAGGTGAGCCGCATGCTCGTTTGCCCCCTCTTCTATAAAAAAAAAAACAATACTATACTAGCTTGTGAGGTCAGCTAAAACTAAATATGCCCGGGTGTTTTAATCGTCGGAAAAACTAAGGACCTGCTGACTTTTGCTTATTTAACAAAAGTTTAAATTTTAATGCAAAAACGTCGTATAGCTAAATTATTTTCTACGTTGATTATCAAATAATATATACCTACTTTACAAAAAAATTCTCAAGTAATGTTGTTTAAAAATAATATCTGTTACATTTTACTTTCCAATGGAAAAGGATTAAAAGGCGGTTAGTATTGAATAAATACTATTAATAAATAGTAATATGTAAGTTCGGTAGTATTGAATAAATTATATACAATCGACGTCGTAGTGTCCTTTAGAATACTTCGTCTTTGGTAATGCGTATTGAAAGAGAATGAAGCCATTTGCCGGCGTCTATCTTTCCATCTAATTACAATCTGGGTGTCTTCAAAGCAAGAGTGAATAAGGTTTTACTTATATTACTCTATAAGACAGTGCAATTAACCATTTAAGGCTAATTGTCACCGCTTACCACCCTGTAAATGCTATTTCGAGTTAGTACTAAAAATAAAACAAAATATTTTTAGTACTAACTCGAAATAGCGCCATTTATAATTATTACACATGAAATAATTTAAATACAAAATATGAGTACCATTTTGTATAATATATATGGTCTTCTGATGGTTGCTGATAACTGTTCTGACTGTAAGACCGTTGCCGCCACTTTTAATATTTTCCATAAGTACTTCCTGAGCTGCTCTTTGCTCTCTTGACCATTTTGCTGCCTCTTCAGCCAAAATTTGTCGGCTTACTTTGCCTTCAGATTGTGTGGACTGCGAAATGAAGTTATTAAACTTGTATGTATACTCGTCACAAATTATATAATAAAAGATTGTTATAATCATTATTATTAACCGACATATCCCAACGTATTAGTGAACTGAAGTGGTTTTGGGCCGGCTATATAGGTTAACGAACCGATGAGGAAGAAAGGTTCTTGAGTGGCAGCCTCGGAGTTTAGGGCGTCCCCAAACTAGAGGGAGTGATAACCTGGTAAGACATGTAGAAAGTCGATGGATGCGAATACCGTGCCTTGTGGCATTCCTTGGTGGAGGCATATGTTCAGCAGTGGACTTGTCAAGGGATGTAATGATGGTGATGGTGATGATGATGATGACGATGAATCAGTCGAACGTCATAAGGGCCTGTGCAGCTGGTTCAAGTAAACTGTGCATTAAGAAAAGAAATTTTAGCAAAATTGAAAATCAATGCTTAAAGTGGCATATAAAATCGTATTTTTAATTAAACGAAGCTGCGTGACAAATGCTAATGTCAGTTTGTGCGATGTAAATCTCTCTGCGCGCTGTTTTCCTGTTGCTTTTCTTTAGTTTCTTGTTAAGTTTTTTGTTACGTTATGTTTGTTATTGTTGAGTTATTGTGTTTTTATATTGTGTCGTACAAACGATATGGAACCTCAACCAAGCACGTCGAGCAAAAGCTCTTTTTCCCCAAAAAAGAAGAGACCACGGGCTTCTCTTAGCGTTACCGAAAAGCTTATGATACGCAATGTCTACAAATACATATTTGAGCAGGAAACTGCTTCGGTATTACCTACTGAAGTACCGGAAAGAAGTGGTTCTAAGACAGCTGAAATTTTGGGAATCAGTACAACCACAGTGTTCAGTGTATTAAAAGAATACAAACAAAACGAGCAATTTAAGTCTCCTGAAAAACTTGGATCGAAACATAATTTCAAGAATAAATTTGAAGATTTCACCTTATCGGCTATAAGGCGAAAAGTATACCATTTTTTTATGCAAATGAGGCAACCCCCATTGCAAAGGTAACTTTAGTCTAATTTTTTTTAACATCTTTTTCGCGTCGCTATGTGTGCGTAAAGCTTGTTATATATGCAATATGCAGCTTTGATTTGTGTGATAGTGACCACCACTGTCGCGTCACTATCAAACAAATCAAAGCTGCATATTTACACGCACACATAGCGTTTTTTTTTTGAGGTTCTATTTGATTTTTTTCTATTGCGTAGACTTTCTTACCCATAATCTGTTAAAATTACAGTTTCTTAAGGTTTTTAATGATGACCCAAATTTACCGAACTTCTCTTGGAGTGCCTTCTCTTGAGGAAAATTTTAAAACACTTAAATTTCAAATGCGCCACAAAATCAAGAAAAAACGTGCTAATATATAGACGCGATATTGTTTTGTGGCGCCAGCGATACCTTCAAAAAATTAAAGATTATCGCAGGGAAGGAAGGTTTTTTTTTATAGGATAAGGGTGACAAAAGAGCACACAGTCCACCTGATGCTAAGTGGTTGCTGCGGCCCATAGACATCTACATCTATCCTCTGTTACAAATCAAAATGTAGATGCGTTGTCACCCGTGAGGACTAAGATAGAATGCCTCATTTCCAGTAAAAAGGGCCTCCGGCCACCTACACTCACCAACCGAAACGCAGAGGTAAACCTCTACTTCACGCTGGTTTTCTGTGAGGTCGTGGTACTACCCCGGTTCGAGCCGGCCCATCCGTGCGACAGCAAAAGCTGCCGCGTGGCTCTACCACTGTTTCTAGTAGTACATTTATTACCAAGATGAAACCTGGATCAACGAAGATTATTAAAATTTTCTCTCTTTTATTTATCTATTACAGTGTAGGTATTACATGCCACCGGTGAATTTAATGAGTTATTGGTATTTTCTCGAAGGTCATACACCGAAGAAGCAATGGATTGACCAGACTGTACAATCGTCCCGGGCAGCATTCTTAGAAGGGTTGACCACATGCTTGAAAGGGCCTTCAGGAAAAGGAAAAACAGCTAATTATTAGCCATATAGGTGGGGAAGAAGGATTTGTAGAAGATAGCATACTTGTGTTTGAGGCTAAAAGAGGAAAAGAAGATAACCGTCAAGAGATGAATGCTGAGTATTTTGAGGAGTGGTTTAGTGAGGTTTTACCCAAACTAAAACCTAATTCCGTAGTGGTGATGGATAATGCCCCCTATTACTCCAGAAAATTAGAATTGCTGCCTACAATGTCTTGGAATAAACCAAGAATACAAGAGTGGATGGCGAGCAAAAATATCCCATTCGTGGCACAAATCGTAAAAGCTACTCTTATAGACATTGTACGGCATCACAAACATGAACACTGCGACAAGTATGACGTGGACGAGATGGCAGCGGAGCGTGGAGTCACTGTTTTACGTTTGCCCCCTTACCATTGTGAACTCAATCCCATTGAGAAGATTTGGGCGCAGGCCAAAGGGTATGTTGCATTAAACAACAAGACCTTCAAATTTAAAGATGTAAAAAAACTTTTCGAAGAAGGACTAAATGAAGTGACTGCCCAAAAATGGAATAACTGCGTGGCTCACATAATAAAAGAAGACAAAATTTTTAATCTCGACCACATGATCGATAGTGTCTCACTGACAATGACAGTGACAGTGATGATATTATATCTGATGACGATGAATAAAACAATGTAATACTTAAGCATAGTTTTTTTTTTAATGAAATCCCTATGACGACATACACTATGGATAATTTTCGCCTGATGAACTGACAACATGGATGTACCTTAATAATTTTGACGTAATTTTTAAAACCTTCAGTTATTTTTTTTTACCATTCAGTCGTTTTCTTTATCAGTCGGTCATTTTGTTTTCTGTTCAGTCATTTATTCACAACACTATTTTTGATTTAACAAAACCTGACAACCCAGTAAACGTCAGGCAGCTTCGCTTAATTAAAAATACGACTTTAGTTTGCACATTCGTAATTCAGATGACTGAACGAGATAGGATCGAATCGAAATACGTATATACATACATAAACTCTCAGGTCTGTCACTCATAGGGGTAGGCAAAGACTACAGACTTTTGGGTCTTTCACATCAATATACGAGGGTGCATTGAAAAGTACTCGGCCTAACACAGATCCATTCAATTCTAAAAATCAAATCTACCCACATTATTTAGTTCAGTTCAGACTAGTTCATTGTGTGAAGTTCGAAACGTGTGCGATAATTAGTTGTGATTTTATAAATTTATTAACAAAGTAATCGGACATAATTTCCGCGAATGGAACAAATCGAGCAGCGTGCCGTCATTAAGTACCTCCATAAGAAGGGGCTATCATCAAAAGCCATCCATGATGACATGGTCAGTACATTAGGCGATTGTGCTCTGTCATATTCATCCGTCAAAAAATGGATAGCAGAATTTAAGCGTGGTAGAGAGAGTGTGATATATGAACCCCGCTCTGGAAGGCCTTCGACGTCAACTACTGACGAAAATATTAAAAAAGTACTTGATTTAATAATGGGAGACCGCAGATTAAAAATTAGAGAGATAGCCGAGATTATAGGCATCTCTTATGAACGAACTCAAAACATCATTGTCAACGAGTTGGGTTTCCACAAGGTATCTGCGAGGTGGGTTCCGCGACTGCTTTCAGTTGAACAGAAAAGGACGCGATTGACTATTTCACGCGACTGTTTGGAGTTATTTGAAGCCGATGCAGATGATTTTTTGAATCGTTTTGTTACTATGGACGAAACATGGGTTCATTACTGTACACCGGAAACAAAACAACAATCAAAACAGTGGAGAAGACCTGGTTCACCACCCCCTAAAAAGGCTAAGTCGATTTTGTCGGCAAATAAGGTGATGGCTTCAGTATTCTGGGACTCGAAAGGTGTGATTATGATTGATTATCTTGAAAGGGGTCAGAATATAAACTCTGATTACTACTGCACCTTACTACGTCGTTTACGAGAGGAAATAAAAGAAAAACGTCGAGGAATGCTCAGAAGAAAGGTCCTGTTTCATCAAGATAACGCCCGTGTTCACACGTCAGTACAGTCAATGGCTGAAATTCACAACTGTGGCTTTGAACTGTTACCGCATCCGCCGTATTCACCTGATCTGGCATCATCAGACTTCTTTCTGTTCCCTAACCTAAAAAAGCACTTGGGAGGTCAAAGATTTTCGACAAACGACGAGGTCAAAGCAGCTGTAGACGCATATTTTGACTCTAAGGAAGAATAATTTTTTTTCAACGGTCTAAATGCTTGGAAGGGGAGGTGGCAAAAGTGTATTGAACTTGATGGTGATTATGTAGAAAAATAAAAATATAACTGATTTAGTATGTGTTTATTTTCTTGGTTAGGCCGAGTACTTTTCAATCCACCCTCGTATAAATAGGTATACATGCTCGTCGATTAAGTTTGATTTAAGTACCAAATTACGTAATTATAAAGTAAAAGAAAAACTCACTTGTGGTGGACTTTCCATTATTACGTGGGGACGTCCAAGTGTATGTTGCCATATGAGTTGCGCCGCAACCTTATGCTTCGAGCTGTGATGTAGTGGTTGGATTTGAAGTATACCATACCAGGCTAATTCTCTATACACGCTATCCGGAAGATACCCAGTCTGAAGAAAAAACAAAAAAAATTGTTAAAAAATAAAAATATTTTTTTAAACTTACTTGTTATTTCGATTTTTGTTTTAAAACTTACCGGCATAAAATCCATGTGCCACTGTGAAATGCAATAAAATAGAGGTATGATAAAAATTTACATAAATAGATAACTAAACTAGCTCTACAAAGCATTGTTATGTTACCTCTTCTTCGGCGGCTTCCGTGGTTACAACATCTATAAAAAATATATTCTTGAAAATATTTATTACTCAGCTTAAATAAAAACAAATGAATGTAAAATTAGTGCTTGATACAACTACTTATAAGCTCGTTAGCTAATAGAAAAGCATCTGATGGAACGTCGAGAGCCCAGTGACTGTAAAGTTTTATCCAAATACTACAGACTAGAAGTAGAAGTCAAAACGATGGAATACTAAAATACGAACCCTCATCTTCATTTTGTGAGTAGACAAGTATTAACTAAAACGAAAAAAATCTTTATATTAGTACCTACTATATAAACACTCATAGTTTTTTTTTTTTAATAATTTAAACAAAAGTAACTTAATCGTGCCTGGTAAATAAGAACTGTTAAGCAAATATTTTTAAAATATGTGTTCATTTTTTCTTCCTACTATTTAAAACATGTACGCATATATCATGCACGAAAAAAATTTTAATTCTGAATTTAAACTATTGGCGATACCTTATCAAAAGTTCTCTAACGAAGGTAATAAATTTTAATAGCTTGTTATAAATATTTTAGGTCGCGTTGCTTTGATATTACTACAATAATTCTTCTAGTACTAATTTTCATGAGCTCTTCTTTCTGTATAAGCCCGTAAAGGCCACTACTGTACATAGGCCTCCCCCATGGAATGTCACAAAGCACGGTCCTGAGCCACCTGCATCCATCGACTTGCCGCATGTCATACCAGGTCATCACTCCATCTAGTGGGGGATCGCCCTACACTTCGCCTACCGGTACGAGGCTACCACTCGAGAATCTTTTTTCCCCATCGATTGTCGGTTCTTCGAGCTATATGGCCGGCCCATTGCCACTTCAGCTTACTAAAATGTCGGGCTATGTCGGTCACTCAGGTTCTACTGCGGATATCTTTATTTCTAAGTTTATCACGCAATGAAACCACGAGAATAGCCCACTCCATAGCTCGCTGAGTGACCTTGAGTTTTGTCATATGGCCAGCAGTGAAGGATCACGTCTCAGTTCCATAAGTCATCACTGGCAACACGTACTGATTGTACTATCTCGTTTTCAAGTTATGGGTGTACCTGACGAGAAGATGTGTCGTAATTTCCCCAACGCTGCCCAGCCGAGATGAATCCGTCGATTGACCTATCGGTCGAAGTTCGACTTACCTAGTCGCTATTTGTCCCAGGTAAACATACTCGTCAACAACTTCTAGCTAAGTGCTCTCAACAACTAGCGGCATAGGTGTGACATAGACGTTATACATGATTTTTGTTTTGTCCATGTTCATCTTAAGACCTATCCGTTGGGAGACACTATTGAGGTCATTGAGCATAGTCTTGGGTCCTCCAGCGATTCTGCTATATGAACTATATCGATTAATCATTATAATATATCATAAAAATAATTCACGACTCTATATGTTATTAATTCAATCTGTGTTATTTGTTATTTAACAATTGTTATAATTGTTATTTAACAAGGTACGCTAAAACTAGAATAGGTATAGCCCGTGGAACGATCAACTCCCCGTGTTCACGTGGTAGTGGTAATCATAGATAAATAGATATGTATAGCAAGCTAGTGGTAGTGGCAATACGAAGCTTATTCCATACCTATCTCAATATATCGTATTGTCTCTAGTATATATACAGTAATCTATGGTATAGTCGTTCAGAAACTTGGATGAACAAAAAAATCATATCCCGACAAAACTCGCGATACTATTTTTTTGGTCATCCATACCATCTGAATGATTATCGATCTACTGCTGTGCGATTTACTACCAGCGGTTTTCCGGACCGATACGATTTAGGGACCTTCAATAAAAGAGGCTTCTCTTTTTGAAAGGGCAGGCAACGTTTGCTAAAAAAAAACTTGAATCAGAGCCTAGGACTTTTGATTAGGATCAAGTATTGTCTATATAGTTTTAACTTTTAATTGTAGATTCCACGGATTTTTAATACTTTGTAAATTCACAGATTTTACAATCATGCTAGTTTTTAGCTTAATCTGTAAAATTTACAGTTTCTTAGTAGAATGTAAATAAAGTATAAGTTCGTCATGTTATTTTAATTAAGATTTTTAATTTGGATGCTTATCCTTTAAGCCATGTCTTCATTTCATTCGGGATCTTCGTTTTTATAGATTTTCAGTATCAAGTGATAATAATCCTTTATATTACATTGCTTCACAATATGTTGATGCATCAAAATCTCGATCTTAGATAATCTACATTTAAGATTATAAATTTTGGTCATGGAAGGCAAAGGGTATATAAATAATAATATCTTAATGTGGCACAAGTTACGGGCTCAAACTCACTCGTAGGCGTGGCCAAAAAGTATGATGTCTCACCTGGCATCGTGCCCGACAGAGATAGTATCATCAGTTCCCTGGTATATAGTGTATTGTCTCAGCACTGATCTGATGGTATCAGTGCTGAGCAGTTAAACGCTAGTCTTCACGCACGTCTTGTTCGTACGGCGTTCCGAACCGTTCGAATAAATACGAAGTTACACGAACACGATGCACACATACATACTGCCCTACGCTGTGTGTGCCGTTCGACGTTTGCTGAGAAATCAGCAAGTACCTACAAACTCGTACTAAATTATTAGGCGCTGCGTTATCGCTTCATATTATACCTCTATGGCTCTATAGATACCTAATATAGATTGCTTATTTTATTTAGTTTTCCCCGGGTGGTCATTCAGCGATCACTCAAGAGTTCACTTGAACTTAAACAGTCATCGCATTTTATGTCCGTACTAGCTGTAGCCTGCGGCTTCGAACGCGCGTAACTCGAAAATTATCCCACAGGAACGAAATACCTGAATAAACGGTATCATATGTGTTATTCCAGACTACAAGCTATCTCTAAGCTAAATATCATCCAGATCCCTTCAGCCGTTCTGGCGTTATTGAGTAACATACATCCATCCATCCAAACATCCAAACTTTCGCATGTATAATATTTAGATAATAATTGTAATTAGTTCAGCACACCTATAAATTGTTTTCAAAAATACTTACTTACCTCACTTCTTACTTTTTTATATATTATTGGTTATTTATTTCCTTTATAACTTTTCATTGAGAGCCGTGGTAGCTCAGATGGTTAGCGCTCGCTATAAATATCATAGTACGCCATCAACACGGGTTCGATTCCCGCCGGCACCAATGAAATTGTTGCTATTTTAAGTGCTGATTTACCACGTGCTCAGCGGTGAAGGAAAACGTCTGAGAAATAAGAAAAAAAAAATATTTCAAAGACGTTCGCCAATACGCATTGGGGCAGCGCGGCGGACATTTCCTTGCCCTAAAACCTTGTCAGAAATGAGAGGAGGCCTGTGCCCAGCAGTGGGAAATATATAGGTTGTAACTTTAACTGTAATAACATTTTCATACATATTTATCACATTTTAATTATTTTTATAAAAACGTTAAAAAAAACTTTTAATATATATTTTAGTCATTAAATTACTATTATTACTGAATTAATAACACAATTACTGACATTGTTTTTTTATGTCTGTGGTTTGTAATTACCGCCACTATAGCTCAAAATAAATTATTCCTAATACACAGAAAAATAGTTTGGTGTCTATGTTACTATGTAGAAAGTTAGTTTTTCAAACGAGTAGACGAATGTAAGCCCAATTTACGCACGTGTCATGCAACTTTTTTCAACACATTTGTGAGAAAATAATACCTACTACAGGAAATGAAAAAAAAGAATTTTATTTTAGATACCAATTGGAAAGTCTGTTTTTCTGGACTGTTTTGTTTTGTTAGTATAACATCTCGCAGGGTCAACCTAGGAGGTTGTCGGCTGCTTATTTTTTTTTTTATTTAAAATGTTCGTCTGTAATATAATGTAGTGATAATGGAATATAAATCAAATTAATTCAATAGGTAAGTACAGATAAAATTAGCGGAACATTTATGCCCAAAGTTGTGTTAAAATTGGCAATAAAAATGAATCTTTGGTAGCTCGTAACTTTTTAATTGTTACAAATTGTGAATATTGTTGTGATTATTTTTCAATGTTGTCAATTTGGTTTAAATAGATTACTCCTCATTATTTTCAATGATATATAATTAACAATGATAAAGTTCCTGATACACTTCAAAGTCTATTAGCTGATGAAAAATTCTTCCGACCGTTATATTCCTTTATTTCTGGTTTTCAAGATATATAAAAATGAAAACAAAGTGATATTAATGAATAGTGCAAACGTAAACAAACTCTTTGTGACTGATTCAGTAGTGTAAAAGTGAATTTTTGATGAATGTATCGTTCGTGACATTTCTAATTTTTAAAGATAATACATTGTAACTCCAGGCTCAGAAGGGCTAGAACCCAGAGCCATAAGGCCAGTTATAAAAAAATATTTTTGATTTTGACTTTTGGCCGTAGATAAACTAAGTCTATGCTTTTGGTATGGAGTGTAGAGTGGTGTAGAGTACGAGTACAAGGAGAACAATCTTATAAGGGGCGAAATTTGAAAAAGTATCCTACTATTTACTGAAAATAGAGGTTCCAATACCTACCACAATAGCGCTGGCTGGCGTCTGAATAACTACGATATGAAGATAGCTGTTGTGAACGGAGTGAAATCAGCTGAATTCAAATATTTAAATATTTTTTTTTTATAGGAAGGATGACAAACGAGCACACAGTCCACCTGATGGTAAATGGTTGCTGCGGCCCATAGACATCTACATCTATCCTCTATTAAAAATCAAAATGCAGAGGCGTTGTCACCCGTGAGGACTGAGATGGAATGCCTCATTTCCAGTAAAAAGGGTCACCGGTTCTCTACACTCACCATACGAAACACAGCAGCGTAAAGCTGCTATTTTACGTTGGTATTCTGTGGGAGCGTGGTCCTTCCCCGGTGGAGCCGACCCATTCGTGCTACAACTATACTACTAATATAGCTGCAGCATGGCTCTCCCACGTAAAATATAAATTTCATGATTAAAGTAGTTAGTAAAATGCCAGTATACAAAATCTCAACTATTTACATAGTACAAAACCACGCGGATTGGTCGGTCCTTATTTATTTCTCCATCTTATTCTAATTACTTTTGGCGCTTTTTTTTAATTTATCCTATGCTACTGCAGCGCCACCCTTATTGGACACGTTTTTAGGGACACTTTTCATATATAGAGATGGTCCTCCTTCTCTCTACACTCCATAGCTTTTGGCTCTTGAGTTTTTGATATTTTAGAGATGTGCCAACTCGGAAAAATCACTACTCGTAAAAAAGCTTTTACAAAAATTTTTACTTCGCAAATATCCGCGTTATTAAATAAAAAACACTTATTATGTAGGATTAAAATAAAAAGGTATATTTAGTATGTATAGCACTCTTCATCTAATGGCTCCAGTACACGTTGGCCGAGCGCGCGTGGCGAGCGCGCTCGGCAGATTTTCGTAGTGCCGTTCACACGTTGGCATGTTTCATTCTGCGTTGATAGCTAGGTGATGATGGACGTTAGGACGATTGCGGCCGCGGCAATATACTTGCACAGCGCTTTCAAATTTTATTTAAATGTGCACCAGAGAAGAGTGATTAAAAAAAGATGGTGGATGCTGAGTATTCTATATGTATATACACTACACATATAACAATAATCCCAGTTTGTCCTTTTTAGGGTTCCGACCTCAAAAGGAAAAAAGAAACCCTTATAGGATCTACTGGCTGACCCGTGCCTAAAAGAAGCCCCTAAGCTACATCATCCCTGAGCAACATAAACTCAGAGATAATTTATAATAATATTCATCATCGGGTAGGTACTCTGAAATCGCAACTAAACATGTATTATTTAATACAGTTAGGCAAGTTTGGGGTATATATAACCATATAACTGATTCATTGTGATAAGAATCAATAAACCTAAATATTTCCTCATTAGTCCATGTCGCCATATTCGTGAAACAATTTTATTAAGCCGACACTACAGTCTACTCCGACGCGTAACTATGAACTGAACACTCGGTCAACGTGTGAACACTGTTTGCGGCTTGCGCCAAATTTCTTTGATTTGTGCACGGAAAACCGACACTATACGGCTTGTCGGCGAGTGTTGGCCGCAAACGCCAAATATATACAAAACGGCCCAGTACGGTAACGGTTTAAAATAATAATAGGTTTGTGTCGTACATAACTATATTGATCACTTAATCAAAATTACAAAAGAACTTAAATTACATAACTTAGCTATTATAAAATTCTAAATAACAAATTGTTTTGGTTGTAGCTAAATATTCTTCGAAACACAAAGTGCACACACAACGAACGAATCGCGATCTTACTCTTTTGCTGACTCACTTGATCCGTTCATGTACAGCAGCCCAAACTTGAGTTAGGGAGATCCAACTTCCGCGTACCGGCCCATAGTGCTGCTCGACGAGGCGGGCAAACTTCTTGAGCGTATCATCGCAGATAGCCTCGTCAGCCGCTTGTGCAGAGAGGGGCCGGACCTGGACGAGAACCAGTTTGGTTTTCGTCGCGGGCGCTCCACCATAGATGCTATTACGCGCGTGAGGACCCTGGCGGAGGAGACAGTATCCCGGGGTGGGGTAGTGCTGGCGGTCTCTTTAGACATCTCCAACGCCTTCAATACCCTACCCTGGAGTTGTATTCGGAAGGCGCTGAATTACCATCACGTGCCTCCCTACCTCCGCCGCACAATAGGGGCTTACCTTGAGGAGACATGCGTTACGTATTGGGGACGTGACGGCGCTGGCTGGCGCGTCATGTCGTGCGGTGTTCCGCAGGGATCGGTCTTGGGACCGCTCCTGTGGAACATCGGCTACGACTGGGTGCTGAGAGGTGAACTCCCGTCAGGCGCCGACTTGACGTGTTATGCGGACGACACCCTCGTCACTGCCCGGGGGACCTCGCACAGGGATGCAGCGTTGGTTGCCACGGCTGCGGTGTCATAAGTGGTGAACCGCATCCGGCACCTGGGCCTGGAGGTGGCCCTAAACAAGTCGGAGGCCATGGTGTTCCATGGCCCTAAACGCGAGCCGCCGCTGGGATCACACATCGTGGTCAGCGGGGCCCGGATAGCTGGCGAGTCCACCATGAAGTATCTGGGACTGATGCTCGACAGCCGATGAGAATTCGGACCCCACTTCCGGCGGCTGGCGCCCAAGCTGATGGGTGCAGCGGGCGCGCTTTCAACGTTGCTCCCCAACTTGGGAGGCCCGAGCGCCGCCTGTAAGCTGTTGTACGTGGAAATCGTGCGGTCCATGGCCCTGTATGGGGCCCCTGTGTGGGGCGATGGACATGACGGCCAGCACTCTTGCCATTCTGCGCAAACCGCAGAGGGCGATGGCCGTCAGAGTCGTCCGCGGGTATCGCACGATTTCCTACGAGGCGGCTTGCGTCCTGGCCGGATCCCCGTCCTGCGACCTAGAGGGGAAAGTACTCGCGTTATTATATTGATGGTGCGAGGAAGAGCGGGCACGGAGCTCGAGGCCGGTGCAGCGGCAGATCGCCCTACGCCGAGAGGAGCTCCGTCAGGTCTTGGTAGCGGAATGGCGGCAAAGGCTTCTGCGCCCTACCGCCGGCCTCGCTACCGTCGAGGCGATCCGGCCAGTACTCGACGACTGGCTCGGGAGAAGGCACGGCTCCCTGTCTTTTAGGGTGGCGCAGGTGCTGTCGGGGCACGGCTGCTTCGGCAAGTACCTGTACCGCATAGACAGGGAGCCGGACGCTCGGTGCCACCACTGCGTCCATTGCGGGGAACACACGGCGCAACACACGCTCGCCGAGTGTGTAGCTTGGGAGGAGCAGCGCCGTGTCCTCACAATCTGTCCCTGCCGGCCTGAGGATGGTCGGTAGCGCAGAGTCGTGGGACGCGGTAGTGTCCTTCTGCGAGTACGTGATGTCGCTGAAAAAAACTGCGTAACGGGAGAGAGAGAGATCTCGACTCCCTTCCCCGGCCGCAGAAGGCGCACCGGGCGCAGGAGAAGGGCGGACAACGCCCTCTTCCGGCCCCCATGAATGGGTCCAGGGGCGAGGGACTTGGGGAAGCCCCCGCTACCCCTATTCGATGGACCCGAGGCGGAGGCGCGCGCGGGTGTCGGCGCGCGCCTCTGAGGCGATGCACGGGGTAGTTGAACACCTCACTACCCCGTGCAGGAGAAGAGGCCCTGGCAGACAGGGCCAGCACTAGTGTGGGGCTGCGGAAGAATTTGGATACCCGCGGCCCCGCGCGCGCACGTGCGAGGAGACACCGGGATGGTTTTAGCTGTTAAGAGTCCGGCACGCCCCTCCGCCTTTCCCCAGGCGGAGGCAGTCCACGAGGATTTCCCCCATAAAAAAGGGAGATCCAACTTGAGTTAAGTGCAACTCGAGTTAACTTAGGTAGTAAGAGTAACTCGAGTTGACTCATCACTATTTTGAATTGACAATTGACATTTTTATTTATCAAGCTCAATAGAACGAGTTGGATGTAATTCTTGCGGATTACTCATTACTAATTAATATTAAACGTAGAGATTGAATAATGTTCTTTGATTGATACAGTACATCATAGAAAAGTGCTAAGTAAATAAAGTCGGAAATGAATACTTTAGATAAACAATTAGCTGATTTGCGAATATATGCAAACGAATTAGACGCAAAGCTTCAAGATGATATTAATGCAGCTAAGATGAAACCTTCAATTCCGCCAAAAAAAAGTAAACCACCGCAGCCCCAAATCCCTCAAAGTTACACTGTGAAATCGGCTTGTGAACCTTCATATTCATCCAGACTCGAATACGGAAGTCGCACAAGTTCTACTTATTCAAACTTAGTACCAGTTAAGAGTTGTATTGTGAGGAATTCGGCAAGGCTTCGTAGCGGTGATGTTCTTTTATACAGTAACCTCTTACCTCCTGGAGGAACCAACCATGTTTATTCTAATATACCAATGCAACGCGCCTCTGAAAGTATATACGGTGACCGCGACGCGAGATCAGAAGTATCTAGAATAAGTGATTTAGGTGCACAGTCTAATTACAGTGAGTTACGCAGGCCTGGATCAGCTTATCCACCTTCTTCTGCATCAGTTAATGCTCAAGACTTTTCTACTTATGGAGGATCACAAACTTCTTCAACTTACGAGTCTCTTTATGAGCCCATAAATCCAAGACCTTGTAGTCAATCGTCTGGTACATCATTATATGGGGGATATGTTGGTACAAATGAACCTACTCCAGAACCAGATGATGCCTTATATTGTGGCAACTGCTATAGGTGTGGAGAGAAAATCATGGGTGAGACCACTGGCTGCACAGCCATGGAGAGAATCTATCATATCAAGTGTTTCTGTTGTCAGCAATGTGGAATTAACTTACAGGTTTGTAACCGTAGCTATATATTGTTGTTGTCGTTGTGGACTGATAGAGACAAGTGACAACTGATCATGTGGTCCTGATTCAAATCAATATCAGTGATTGCATTTATCTGTCAAGAAATTCTATGTATGTATTGAGAATTTTGTTGCAATGTGTAATTGTAAAACTTAACAATTGAAAGTAATCAAAACAGTTCCTTGTATGAGGAATTTCAATTTTTAATATATTAATAGGAGGGACTTCTACGTACGTACAATCTATTAGAATAATGTGTGGATCTGTCGAATGACATCATGCACAAACGGTCGTTACAAAAAGTGGTTTATTGATAGTGTTATGTGAACTATGGTTAAAGAAGTCTTTCTAACTAACAAATTTCCTAGCCAAGACATCGCAGTATTTATGAAATTTGACATTTCCTGTTAAACTTCATACTTTCATACTTTAAATTGTATTTGTATTGTGTTCATATATTTTTGCAGGACATTTTCGACAAACAGATTTTAGTTTAAATCTGAAATTAATTATAAGCTATTTTTTGAAATAAGGCCGATAGCCCAATTAGAATAGTTAAGAAGTGTCTCTTTAAGGACTTGCTAAATAATTTACAAATAAAACAAGCCCTTTATTCAACAGTACGTAATACAATTTCTTAATATCTAAGTTATATAAAATCTAAGTTGTCTTCTGCTGATTGCCAATCGGCAAAAGCCCCTTCCAACCTTTTCCACTCGTTTCTATCCTTGGCAACCCGGCTCCAGGTCACACCCGCAAATTTGGCCCAGTCATCCTCCCATTTTTGGTGGAGTCTTCCCCTCTTTCTTATGCCATTCCTGGGGTACCATTTTGGGCTAAATTATTTATTATTTATTAAATTACAGAACAGGGAATACCACATCAAAATACTGTTTAAAGTTTGTTTAGATATAAACTCTGAAACACAAGTTATAAAGAAATTGCGGTAATGTTAAACCTCATCCCCAACTTCTAAACAGTTTTCTCATAACCTCTATATATTGATACTAAATCACTAATTCAAATTAGACAAACAACTATAGAGTATGTGTAAGTTTAATCTGCACATGCCTCTGTTGTATTTTTTGTTGAATTTTTTCTCTGTTATCATGTCAACTGTAATGAATGAAATGATGAAAATTTACTAAATCACAATAGAAACAACACACAGAATTCGATTTCATGATACTCAATATGGTGTGCAATATGATGTGTACGAATTGTACTAAAAATACAAAGGGGGAAATGAAGTTTACAAATTAAATGATCTCTAGTATGTAATGATTATCTAAGTTGATGACTCAGTTATTTGACCATATTTCTTTATGTTTAGGGCCGGCCATTCTATGCAGTTCAAGGTCGGGCGCTCTGTGAAAGAGACTATCTTGATACACTAGAGAAGTGTTGCGTCTGTGGAGATCCAATTCTTGACCGCATATTGCGAGCTACAGGAAAGCCGTACCATCCTCGCTGTTTTACGTGCGTCGTGTGCCAGAAGAGTTTAGATGGCATCCCATTTACCGTGGATGCTGTGAACCGAATTCACTGTATCGAAGACTTTCATAAGAGGTAATTTAATATTTTAATAAATGTGCCTAGCTTGTGTTCAATGCTTTTTTTCTTTCATCATAATCGGATGAAAGTTATAGGAAAACATAGGAGATGAAACAAACAAATATGCATTTTTATATATTTATTACTCCATAATCCTTTCAATAATAGGAAGAGATCTGTGTCCAGCTATGGGGCACATATATTAAGCAACTATACTTATTTTAGGTCTCAATTTGGGAAAAGATCAAAAATATTTTTGTGCCTGCTCTATACGCATTAACACTGCTATTGGTAAAAATTATTTTCAACTTTCCTTATTATAAAGTTTATTTTATTTAAATATAATATTATGCTTCAGTAGCATGCTATGTGTCTCCGTCTTTCCAACAGAGTGTTCCACGTCACTTATGTATGTTTTTTTCTTACTATTTCGTACTTGGGTGCTGTAAGAAACAACTATGGGAAGAGGAAATACCTGACATTTTAAGCCTTTGATAGTTGAAAATACGCAAACCGGTGACGAGGAGCAATAGGCAAAGGTGCGAGATGTCTGGTACTGGGATTGCTAATCTGCAAGCTGAGCGTGGCGATTGTGACAAATCTTGCCTATATGCACTATAGGTAGGATTTGTGACTAGTTAGATATTATTGCGAGCTGATAAACTTATTTAGTACTTCTTTTAGATGTTTGTTTCCTGACGTTTAAAAAAAGTTCGTTGTTTAAGTTACAGCCTATATACGTTCCCCTGCTAGGCACAGGCCTAACCTCATGTCTAAGATGGTTTTAGGGCAAGGAAAAGTCGGCCCGGCTGTCCAATGCGTGTTGGCGAACTTGACATGCCTTCGAAATTGTTTGTCCTCACGATGTTTTCGTTCACCGCCGAGCATGTGGTAAATCAGCACTTAAAATTGCTATTAACAATTTCATAGGTGCTGGCGCGAATCGAACTCCGATTGCTAATGTACTGTGAAATTTACAGCGAACGCTTAAAACCTGAGCTACCATGGCTTGACATTTAAAAAGCTATTCATATTTCAGATACGCTCCACGCTGCGCTCGTTGTAGAGAGCCAATAGTTCCTGAAGGTGGCGCCGAGGAAACAGTGCGTATTGTAGCCCTTGACAAAAGTTTTCACTTTGCTTGTTACGCGTGCGAAGACTGCGGGGCTTCACTTTGCTCGAGGGAAGAAGGCAGAGGTTGTTACCCATTGGATGGACATTTGTATTGTAAAGAGTGTAATGCCAGGCGCATACAAGATCTCTCCAGGAATATCAATTAAATGCAATAGGAAAATAAAAAGATAGTATTGATTAGCCAAGTGTTAAAATAACATCGCTTCAGTCAAGTTAGTGTATCCAATTTTAAAAGTTCTTCATGTTTAAATTAGTATTAAAACAAAGCCCAGGTTCATTATAATAATAGTTTGCAAAATAAACTCTTAAGCAATCTATGTGTTGGGCTTATATAATAAGACTTCATTTTGTATATGGAAATCATACAAAACGAAGTCTAATTATTCAAACCCACTAGAAAATATGAAGGGAATTCAATGTAAAGCAATGTTTTAATTCTCGCTAAGTTTATTTTGTGAAGTATTATTACTGTATCCAATTATTGAAGGTAATTTGCTTATAAGACAGGATAAATAAGATAAGCATATTATACACATTTTGTATCCAATTATACAATCTGGTAACCCTGTATGTGAAATTTATCTCCGAAACCAAAATCCACATACTAATGATGGGAAGTACTATTAACAGTGCTAGAGTATTCTAACCTCAAACAACAACTCTACACCCAAAAATAGTGGATATCTGCATAGTTTGTTACGCCATTTGTTCTTCTTATAAAATTAAAGTACCAAATGAACTAAACTCTCTCAGCCTGTAATTGTTTTGTTTTTCTTTTTATATATTATACAGCATAAGAAATAGGTAAGACAAATGGTACATAGACAAGACTGTGCACTGCTAGGCAGAAGAGCAGGCCTACCTAAGAATATAACTGTTCATAAATTTAACTTAAAGGAAACTATAATTATGCAAACATTCTAACAAATTATTAATATCATTATAACATTAATATTTTTTTATAGAATAGTGTGACAAATGAGCACACAGTTCACCTGATAGTAAGTGGATGCTGAGGCCTATAGATATCTACATTTATCCTGAATCGAGAATCAAAGTTCTAACATGGAATGCCTCGGTATCAGTAAAAAGGGTCTCTGGTTTTCTACACTCACTATATGAAACACAGCAGCATTAAGCTGATATTCTGTGAGAGCGTGGTTGTACCCCGGTCGAGCCAACCCATTCGTGTCACAAAAAATTGTCTGGTCAAAGGAACCTCATTTCAAACGGCAGATATTATACTTTCCTCTGCAGTTCTACCTATTTACTATTGTTTTATAAAGTTACGTTGCACATCATTTTTTCATATACTGCAGTCGTATTTCGTATAGTTATTATTAAGTTAGTTTTAGACCTGAAAGGTTGTAGATTCCAATTTGACCTGAATGTGTTGTAGTCAGGTATTTTCAACTCTGCATGTGATTATCATTCCAAATATAGGAAAAAGACTTAAAATGCAGTCCGTAATACTTTATTGTTATTAAAAAGGTATGCTAGGTTGTCTAAGGAATGCTATATTGTAATACATGTCATATTATACATAAAGTTGTCTGGCATTTATATTATCCGACAGACAATTTTTTGACCTACTACAAATCTAAGAGCTTCTGCTGTAAAGAACTTTTTTTACGAGGCACGGCAGACAAAGAATTGATATAAGTAGTAAAATTAAAAATTTTGTACAACAAACTTCAATTTAAATAAAATGAGAACATCATCAATGTAGTCAAAGTCAATAAAATACGCATTATTAAGAATAACTCAAAAACTACTGGTCAGATCTTGATCAAATTTATATGGGACTACATGAGAAGCACCAGCTTTCAAATAAAAAAGATTCATCAAAATCAGTTCACCTAGAAAAAAGTTCTGAGGTAATAACATAAAAAAACGGTTGAATTGAGAACCTCCTACTTTTTTTAAGTCGGTTGAAAATTTAACCTAATTATTCTGAATTCTTAAAATATGTAGTATTATTAAAATATAGTTTAGATAAAATAATAAAGTTACAATGTATGTTACTGTATCCAGATTATGGTTTCAAATCTCATTTTTAATAATGTTTGTTTATCAAATATGATATTTTATCTTACTATTATTGTTCTTAAAATATGAGATTGTATTCAATATAGTTGAATGTGTAGAAATAGTCACTGAGTAAAAAATGTGAAGGAACTGAATTGACAACATTCCTCCTTATGCATTTTATATTACTTTGTATATTTAAAAGGCTGTGCATTCACCACACAATAGAACCAGATTTTTTACAGTATTACTATCAAAGGTTTTTTTTTAATGTTATTTACTGTGTACAGTTTTGTATCGAGTATATTTAGATCTTTTTTAGCAGTAAGATTTTATGTAAATGGTGCCATTTTATAGTGATTTTAGGTTGTGTATTATTATTACTATGATGTATGTTATTTACAATTTTAGCTTTGAATCTCTTTATTGTACTTAAATATTAGATGTGTAATAAACCATATTACTATATCAGTAATGATTTTTAATACTTTCTCAACATGAAAGGCCTCGCGCCCTGCTGTGGGACATCTATAGCATACCTATCACAATTTTTAAAGAGAAAAAATAAACAACTTGTAACTCGTTAATTTTAACTTTTTATTTCTGCATATACTAACATATACAACACATTCTTTTATCATCCAAGCACTGGACACCAGTTGTCACTTCAAAAATCTAAACTACACTTAACAATAACAAGAAGACTTTGGCTTCTTTTCAAAAGTAAAAACAATAAAAATAACACTTCATTCAATTTTGTCATTCTCTATACAAAATAAACACAAGCAAATACCTAACAATGTCCAGCTCAAAGACCGATTCAGTTTATGGAATTGTGTAAACAGTTTTTATGGTGGCAGTATTACCAAACAATTCTCTGCACATTGAAACCCCATGGTAAAATGCTGGTCACTTGGATGGAAGGCTGTTAAACGCTTGCGCGACAACTTTGTCAAGCCTTTTAATTATAATGACACGTAAACATCTGACCTGATCGAAAGTCATCCTCTTTGATATGGTTGAATCAAAAGATGCAGTCGTTTATTTATATGTAATTCGTTTTTGACACTATTTGCCTGTGAATAATCCATTAAAATAGAATTTTACTATCATAAGCCAAACAATGAAATTAACAGTTTAAATTTCGTTTTAATTGCCTTATTATCATTACTGATATATCTACACAACACAATGCCACCATACCTACCTTACACACATCTTATTGCTGGTGACTTATATATGTAATAACATATGTTTAGCTCAGCATTTTCTTTTTATTCAATTAGACGCCAGCATTTGCTAAATGGTAAGCTGTTCAATTATTAGATTGATTAAACCATCATGCTACCACACAAAATGAAAGTAATTTTTTATGTGTATAATTATGAATTACAATCTTCATATCATGACATACAAATAATATATTTTAAAATAGTCGCTTAAATACTACTAATTTAGAATATCTTTTATCAATTTCACTGTTTAAGTTGAATCAATATTTTTCCATTTATGGACATGCAATAAAATCTTCAAAAACATTATTTAGTATTTTTAACACAATACAGGCTTCTATTACAAAATTCAATGAAACAAACTGACTTCTTTATGTGTATGTGTTATAGTTTACATCAGTTCCATTTTAAAATTTACTTTAAAATAATGTGGAAGTAATACCCACGACTTTGTATTCTGATACAACTATGAAATGCAAAACGCTAACCTAAATCCATTAGTAATAATCTGAATCAGTCTTAAGGAGCTTCAATCAAATTATAGCTCATTAACTTGCACACTCCATTCAACCGCAAGTATCACATTTCCTTGATATTCAAATTAGGTAAATTATACTGTTGTAATATGCAACTGACCTTTAAGATTGATGTTAAGGGCCTGTTAACGCAAGCGTTCGGAGGTTTAAACACACATTAAAATAAACACAAATAGATAGGCTCTAATGCTTTTAGTTTGTATACCATAGACACTTTCCATACTTTGAAATTTGCAAGACAGGTATAAAGAAAAAAATATTGATTTCAAGAGCAGAAATTTGATTAGTTAATTTTGAAAAATGTTACAAATAAACAAGACATCAACTTAAAGAGATTCCAATTATTCATCTGTAGACAAGTCTATATGTTGTTAATTCAGTGCCCAATAGTATATATAGATATATGTACACATTCGCTTTGCGTTACCATGGGCTATATAAAAACTATATCTTACAAGCTAACTTACAGGCAATCTCTATACATGCTTAAGTTCATTTTTTGTAGTGTTGTCATTGGCATTTACTTTTTAATACATGGTGTGATATTCAGTTTAAATTCATAGAACAAATCTGGTACCGTTTAAAAATAACATCCATGCTACTAAAAATTTGCATGCAATATTTACAAGTGAAAGTTTACGTCTGATTAACATTAAAGAGGCACTTCATTATCCCTTACGATCCGTTTTATTAAGAATGGAATAATGCTACATGCAACGCCAGGTAACCCTTTAAAATATATTTTTTTGGTCACTTACGAGGGAAACAACTTTACTATTGCAATTTGCTGAACATTTTTTTTAAAGTTATTTCATGCATTTTCTGTAATGTGAAATGGTTTATAAGAAAAAAAGAAATCATAAATTAAATACAGAAACCAAACATTAAACTCTCTCTAAAAAAAAGGATGTGTAATCCAACAATTGGCATTGAACTACATTGAATATCTTGTTTAACAATCTCGAAAAGATTTAATATTTAAAAAGCTGATGTTCACATCAAGCGGTTCGCAATAAACGAAACTTGTACACATACTTTGAACTCATCACAAAATCAAACCTTTCTATACAAAATAAGATTTGTGTAGTAGTATTATTGTTGCAAACATTTAGTAGTATGGTTAACACAGGATGAAATAAGAATTTTTCAAACAGTTAATGCAGGGTTAGGATCATTAAAATTTACGTCGGTTTAAGCTACCTTAAAACGACCCCTAATCCCTAAAGAAGTGGACATTGTTTAATTTTTTTAAATAGGAAGTTTAATAAAAGACTTGAATCACCTGTTTAAAGTATTCTATATACATTAAATTATATAAACAAAAAAAAAGTTTTACACTCTCTAACACTATTGAACTCAAATATTTCTCATTTAGACATTTTTTAATTAAAAACCTTTTGAACTGCCTAAGGAATGTAAAGGGATTGCTTTAATTACACTGGATCCACTAATTTTGTACAAGTCACGTGAGATGGGGTACACCATAAAGAGGCCTTATTTTATAGATATAATACAAATTTTACACAAATATCTCAAATTCTTAACAATAGTAAAGCTTTAAGAGTTCAAGCGATAACCTTGTTAGGTATTTTATTATTTAAGAAGTTTTACACAGACTTGCGACTTATGGCTAGCAGGAAATATAGCTATGATCAATAAATTGAATGCAACTTATTTCTGACAAGGAACATACACTCTTACATGTCCTTTATGTATTTATAATTATCGTGCCATCATTATCATTTAATAAAAATCAGCTTAAAATTCACTTGATTGCAAGTGGATCCTACAGCCCATAAACACCTGCAATCAACTTTAAGCATAAGAGCATGGTATAGTATTACAACAATAATCATAGTAATACCTGAATTGGTCTATCAACCAAAATAAGGACAGTTAAAAATATTTATGTCAATCATGTTATAACAAATAAACTGATATTAAATAACTCAGTTTTGTTCATTTGTTAACATTAACAAATAGCTAACTATAATAGATGTTCAATACATCTACTATATTCATGCAATATAATCCTTTATTATAATAGTGGCTAAATGCACAAGGTTCATCTAAATGAGCTCTTTCGTTTCTCAACTTTTTCAGCACTAGGATCCCATTCTGCATCGTCAGGATCGTCTCCATCGAAAGCGGACGGCGAGTAAGGGGAAAGAGTGCTAGAGTCATCCATATCCACTTCTTCATCAAAATTGCCTTGCGGAGACTGCAAGGGAGAACTACCCCAATGTGAAGGACTGGATGGGCGAAATTCTTGGGGCATGTTCAACAACATTTCTTGATAGGTAGTCTCGTTCAGTGGAAACTGACGGGGCGAGTATGGTCTCACTGTCTGAAATAATAGTATTGTTAATTATTTGTTATGTCCTGTTAGTAGAGTTATAAATAAATGTATAAAGTTATTGTTTTTGAGAAACAAGTGGAAATGTATAATTAAAACAATATAATACAGGTGGGATGAATTCCGAATTAAACAAACTTGGCGTAGGTGAGGTACTACTTACGCCTAGTTTGTTTAATTAGTACTACTACTAGGATTAGTACTTAGTCCATAATTACCATTGAGAATGTCATAAAACAGTACTGAGCAACCTGCCAGTTTTATTAGGGCGGCACACTTGGAGGGGGTGAGGGGGGCGGTCTGACTTCTCTTACCAGTAAAGAGATTGCCACTCGAGAACCTATCTTCCCCATCGTTTGTCGGTTCTCTCGACAACTAATATAGACATATTGCGGTCGGGAAGTACACTGACATTGCGGTCGGAGCAAAATATTAAAGCTTCGTACAAACTGAGACGAATTCCGCACGTCATTATTTTTCGTTTGTCAACAGGAAAACGTCTTTTTTTGAGGTTTTGTTGTCATTAGCATTAACTGAAGAAGAATCTCAGGGTGAGAAACGAGCACACAGTCCACCTAATGGTGTGGTTGCTGTTGCCAATAGACATCTACATCTATCCTCAATTAAGAATCAAAATGCTGATGCGTTGTCACCCTTGAGGACTAAGATGGAATGTCTCGTTTCCAGTAAAATGGGTCTCCGGTTCTCTACACTGACCATAGGAAACACTGCAATGATAATCTGCTATTTCACACTGGTATTCTGTGAGGGCGTGATCTTTTTCCAGTTGAGCTGACCCATTCCTGCTACAACTATATCACTAATATAGCTGCAATGTAGCTCTACCACGTACAACGATGTGATGTACGAGATGTGAGGACGAAAAGAAGAAAATGGTTTATGAGATGAGTACTCAACGCATAGAATTTGGCGTCACACTTTGATACCCACATTACGAAAAGATAAAAAAAGATTTTATATATATTTTCGTATGCTAAAAGAATACTATAACGAAGTTTTATCAAGAATCTAACAAAATATATTTTTCCTATTAGTATAGTCATCGTGGCTGAGGTCGTATAGAATTTTGTTTTCTTTTACTTTTTATAAAAATAATTCAAGGTTCAACATTCAATTCAAAATTCATTCAAGGTCAAGCATTTCGAAAAATCAGACACTATCCGGCGTATATTTCGCTGCAACAGGTGCGACTATTCGCGCCAATGTGAACACCTCTATACAAGTTAACTAACGCAATCGGCGCGAGATAATCGTGTCCAGTGTCCCGCGCGGGATTAGCCTCAATTTGAACGATGTTTAATAGAGCGCAAGATTAAATTCGTGGGTAGCTGGCACGATAAAATATGCCATGCAGTTGTATGTAAAATCTGAAACTGTCGTAAATTAACAGTTACTGTTTTTTACTATACGAAATAAAGTTCACACACAAAATTCAAATCACATTGACAAAGTGCGTACATAAATAATAACAGCGTTTTCTTAGTCACATAACAAAATCAGTGTTAGATTGTCGAAAACACAATGTTCGCGGTTCACAAAACAAAGAACCAGTCTTCTCGACCGTTCGCATGCAATTAGAGGTTAACTTAGTGCCTAATGTATTAGTAACGGTAGTTGCCCATCTCGTAGTACAGTCGACTCTTGATAATTTGACACTAGTTTTTTTTTTATAGGATAGGGTAACAAAAGAGCACACAAACCACCCGATGATAAGTGGTTGCTGTGACCCATAGACATCCACATTTATCCTCAATAAAGAATCAAAATGCAGATGAGTCGTCACCCGTGAGGCACTAAGATGGAATGACTCTTTTCCAGTAAAAAGGGTCTCTGGTTCTCTACACTCACCATACAAAACACAGCAGCATTAAGCTGCTATTTTACGGTGGTATTCGGTGAGAGCGTGGTCCTTCCCCGGTTGAGCCGACACATTTGTACACTACTATACTACTAATATAGCTGCAGCATTTGCAAAAAATGCAGCGTTAATTTGATGATTTGATCTTTTCTCGGTTGTGGCGGATTATCGTCCAATCGAGCTATGAGAGGAATAGAGAGTACATCTGTTTTGTGCAGATGGCTAGACTCAGACATCTTTTATACATAAAAGTATTTGCTCAATACTGGTTGTGGTGGAAGACCCCCTTTAAGGAAATTGATATATGAGATTTGGTTCTACAATATATTGTATGTACAAAAGATATAAGTAGTTTTAAAAAGTGTTAAAAGTGATATTCATTCTGTAAATACGAGGGCGGCACTGAAAATTTCGGGAATCAAGGAAGTGACACAACATTACTATTTAAAAATGTATTTATTGCTTTCGAAGTATTCTCCGCGAAATTTGACACATTTTTCCATACGATGGAACCAATCATTGAAGCAACCATTCCATTCGGAAGTTGGGGTCTCCAAAATGGCCGTTTTGTAGGCGTCCACAGCTTCTTCAGGTGATGAAAATCTCTGTCCACGCAATTTATTCTTTATTTTAGGGAAAGTATAGAAATCATTAGGGCTTAGGTCGGGGCTGTACGGCGGATGGTCTAATAATTCTATGTTTTCTTGCTCTAAAAACTCTTTTGTTCTGTGTGCGGTGTGAGAACTCGCATTGTCGTGATGGAGGATGATGCGGCGGTCACAGTTCTCTTTACGGAGTTCAGAAACGACCTGTGGCAAACAAATGCTAGAATACCATTCTGCATTAACCGTTCTTCGTCCCTCAAGAGGAATAGTCGTAACATGGCCGGTTTTGGAGACAAACGTGGCCACCATTTTTTTTTGCAACACTCCGTGAACGAACTATTTTTGTTGGCTTTAACTCATTTTCGAACACCCAAACTCGTGACTGGGTTTTTGTTTCGGGTTCGTACGTGTATATCCAGGATTCGTCACCTGATACGATGTTGTGTACAGCATTTGAGGATCCTGCGTGGAATCTTTCGAGAGTTCTGACGCACCAAGTAACGCGAGCCGCTTTTTGCTCTTCACAGGGCGAATGCGGTATCCATCGGGAAAACAACTTTTTTACACCTAATTCTTCATGCAAGATTATTTGTATTTGACTCATGCCAATGTCTAATGTTGCCTGAATTTCGCGATATGTCACATGTCGATCTTCCTCAATCAGCTTACGCACAGCATCAACGTTTTCTTGGGTGACTGCAGTTTTTGGACGACCTTGACGGGAATCATCACTGAGACTTGACACGTCCACGTTGAAATTCAGCAAACCAGCGATAAATTGTGGTTTTGGATGGGGCTTCATCACCAAATGCAGAAATCATCCGGTCAACACACTGTTTTTGTGTTAAACCACTTCGAAAGTCATAAAAAAAATCATCGCTCTTGAATTTTCTCGAGTCAATTCCATTTTCTCAACGACTAAACAAGTTTGACAAAACTTTGTGACAAGACCGAGAATCTTTTTTTAAATAAATAAATGGTATTCGGTTTTTAAAACCAAGAACTTTTAAATTAAAAAAAATTTAATATGACAGGAACAGTGGAAATATTCCATTCCCGATACTTTTAGTGCAGCCCTCGTACTAGGAAGAAGGTAAGTAGTATTAGTACCATATAATTAATGGTTGGGGCGATGTATACATTTTTATAAAAAAGTTTGAAAAGTATATAATAAATCTTCTTATAAAAAGTATAATAAAAGTTTAAAACTTTTATTATACTTTTTATAAGAAGGGTTATCATAATACTAAGGAATTTATGGATGATGATAATTAATAACTCCCGGGAATGAGGTGATTGTTACAATACTATTTCTAATTTGTTTTGTGTTGTTAATTATTGTGTAATTGTAATGATTGTAAATTGTTTTTTTTTTTAAGTCCTGTTGGCTTTTGCTAGTTTTTCCTAGGATAGAGGTATTTTCTGAACTAGTGGTAAATTAAGCATAAGAGTGATTTTCAATAAGTATTATTTATTAGTGATACACCTCGGCTTTGTGGGGGTGATTTCTGGATCTCGAGAACAGCGTTCGCGGCTCAATTGTGAATTTAAATTATTTTTTTAATATTACACACAAAATTTCATTAAAATTAGTAAAGTCATTTAGGCGTTTAGTCACATATACATGGATAGAAGAACATTTATAGGGTTATTTTGTAGAGAGTAGACAAATTTAATATACGGAGTGACGAAAAAGTTATCACATAAAATGAAAAGACGTATGCTACATAAATTTCTTTAAACATACACAACAATAAAAAATATATAACAATTAATACATTAGCCGCGGTAGCATTTTTTTCGTTTCAATATTAAATAACATCATGTAAATGCATACAGATATCACCTGATGAATTCTAGAAGGTCAAAGACCCATGCCATTTCAAGGCGAATATAGCTAGTTTAAAGGTTATCAAACCTAACTACTCAAATAAAGAAAAAATCAAACAAAAACTGCACTTACGGTTAACAATTTAAGGCATAATTTTATGCGCGAAATTAAAAACAAAGGGAACGCACGCTGCAGGCGTATGAAAACAAAGTCAAGCGAAAAATTTACTTAAAATAATGAAGTTAAGGCATAATTCTCTACGCGCAAAGTGACAAGAAATGGGATCGGGTGTTAATATAAATTATTATTTTTCTGGCGCGTGCGACGTTTTGTAAGTCACTTCAGGTCAGTAACCTATATATCAAGGCTGATTTATTTCTTGTCAATATTTTACCCTATTTATTTTGTTTGAAAAATGCATTTTTTATTTTCTTTTATTATTGTTTATTTTATTATTTTAACAGACATATATCAACTTGTATTAACTGCTGTGCTATTTAACGTGATAACCTCGGCGCCACCCAGTATATATATGTAAATAAATATCTATGTTATTGCAGTTTTTGAAAATACGAGTAAATAAGACTTTTATTTTTATTTGAAAATTATGCGAAATTGAATGTGATTTTAGGGTAACAACATTTTTAGGGTAACAAAATCAGTTAAAATAATGCTTTGTCACGCCTTTTTAAATTAAAAGATAAAAAGGACAGAATATTTGAGTTTCTTGTAATGAATTTTTCTTGATAAATCCATATAGAATAAAAAGAGTTGTATATTTGTATTAGTACTCGCCTCGTATTGTTGCGGGGGTGCTGGCGGTGCTGGCGGGTCGGGCGGGGCGGGTGCGTGCGGGGCGGGGGCGGGCGGCGCGGGGTCGTGCGGGTGCGCGTGTGCGCGGCGCGCGCGCTGCTTGCGCACGTAGCGCGCGCGCTCGCGCAGCTCGGCGCGCGCGTGCCGCGACTGCACCGCCGCCTCCGACACGTCCTCCTCCTGCACACACACACACACACACACAACCACACCTTTATCAACTCCTACTCAAACTCTATCCAACACTACACTCCTAGCTCCTTCACTTTTGTTTGTCATACGCGAAATACACGCAAACAAATACATCAAGCTCCGAGAATAAACCACAATTTTCAGTCAGTCAGTGGTATTTCGCTTATATGTATATGGATATAAATAAATCTCTAGGGATATAATTTATCTAAGCGTCAACCATCTTACTGTGACGCATACACGCTCACCAATTTAGGTGAGCTTCTCTGCTGCCTTTGTCCCGCACGAGCTAAGCGCGCGTCATTCGGTGGAGAAACAAAACTCGAGCCTTGTCACCCACAAGGGTATGCAAAGACTACTCGCTCCCTTTGAACAAAAACCAGATATATCTTTCTTTCTTGCTTCTTTTACATCCATATATACGAGGGACACACTGAAATGACCGGAAATAGAATATTTCGAATTGAGTTACAATAAAACCTTTTTTAGTATTTGAATACTGGCCTCTTAAAATCTTAATGACATTAAAAAAATGTTTAAAAACAAAAACTATATTGATTTAAAGTGACACGTCGTTAACAAAAATGGAGCTCACGCGTCAACATTTCCGTACCACAATTTATTACAATTTTCGTCGCGGCTTATCTCAAGATAAATGTCTCAGCGAAATTGTTTCAATTTATGATGTTGAAACACCGAGTCAAATAACAATATACCGCTAGTATGCAGAGTTCCGACGCGGTCGTGTGTCGCTCAACACTTTCTTCTACAGGTCAACCAAAAACAACGGTCACGCCTGAAAACATCGCAGCTATGCGAACTATTATATTAGATAACAAAATGGTCGTTACGTTTGTCTCGAAAAAGGGGCATGTTGCTACAATTCCTTTACAGAAACGCAGAATGGTTACCGCTGAGTGGTATATCATGGTTTGTTTGCCAGAAATAATAGCCGAACTCCGAAAAAATAACCCGAAACGTGGCATCGTCTTACATCACGATAATGCGAGATCCCATACGGCTCGGAAGGCATGATTTTTTGAAGCAGGAAAAAGTTGAGCTGATGAGCCATCTTCCGTACAGTCCTGACCTGAGCCCAAACAATTTCTTTTCAATCCCTAGAATGAAAGATTTATTACGCGGTCAATGGTTTGAAGACCCCGAAGCAGCTGTGGAAGTGTACAAGCGCCATTTTGTCAACATCTACTTCAGACTGGAATTACTGTTTTAATGATTGGTTTACACCAAAGGAAAAGTACATTAAGTTGAACGGAGAATACTTCGAAAAACAATAAAATACAATTTAGCTATACCGTGCATTTGGTTTTTCTTATTCCCAATCATGTCAGTGTGCCCCTCATATTACGCACAGATGCTTGTCGGTTAATAAAACCTCATAATTATATTACTATCGAGTATTATAAATATTCTTGTTAATAATCATGTTTTATGCAGTTGTGTAAAGATAAATATGTAAAATAGCTACACATACCTCGCTTTCAATGGATATCCGGTTTGATTTCATAACGCCATTATTGAGTGGTACTTCAGGTATCTCCATAACTCTCCATCTGTAAAAGCAAAAGTGAAAATTTATATTTATATGATATGTCAACATTTTTATACTTACAATGGACTAGTTACTATCTAATGGACTGGTAACTTGTTTGTCTAATTATTAAAAAAAAAAATATTAGAATTGACGTTTTTTGTAATGTAAAGATGTAAATAAGGAGATGTGTTGCTCTTTTTATATCTTTAATAAGACTTATCACTTACTCTACAACTAAAATTAATATGTTTATTTTAATTGTAGAGTAAGTAGTACATTCTTATAATTCAGCAATCTGTAGGTGTTTCTTTTACTTTTTATAATTCAGTGCTTAGCTGCAATCCCACCTAATAGTAAAATTGTGATGTTGCTCTAGATGATAGATCACACTGTCTAAGTATAACTAGGCCTCTGTCACTCTTGCTACCTGCGTGAAATAATTAACTATAATCGCGAGGCGCCTCCGGTATACAACGCAGTCGGGGCTTGCGCGTTCTAGGCGATTAAATGTTAGTTTTTATAACACTGTTTACGTAAATAGTTTTTTGTAAATAAGTACTTGTTGGAATACTCGTCAAAGGTTTTTGTTTAGTGTTTGGTATATTTAATTGTAGGATAAAATAGTTGAATTTTTAATGTAATATAAGAATTATATATATATGTATATTACCTATTTGATAAATTATAATGGGAAAACGTCGTTCCTACTTCCTACTATAATTATTGCAAGGATAGTTTAATGAGCAAACAAAAGGATTCAGATATATAATTTTTCAAGTTACGGAAGGATAATGAAAGGTGAATTTATTTCATTTTTTGTTAGGTAGGTACCTACTTAAAGCGACAAAAGAATTAATTTATAATATAACTACAGAAGTAATACCTATGTACTTTATTACAAAACTTAGTTGAGATTTACTTCACTATCCAAGTACCTACTGTAATATAAGTAATAGGTATGTACTATTATACTTGTCTATTGTAATTGCTGAAATTAAAACTGTTTAGAAGATTTTTAACTAAGTAGAATACGATCACATTTCTGTTAGAAATCTGTTAGAAAACCTTTTTCTTCCGAGCCAAACATCTTTCTTCCAAGCCAAACATCGCGAATGGCCTTGCAAGTTGCATGAACTCACAAAGTAGTGGAAATATGGTCGATCATAGTGAATAGGTAATTTACTTGCCATTTCACAATGTATTTTTTTATTCTTTATTAGCAGACCTTAGTAACCACAGAAAGTCCGTCATGACGTAGGAAGGGGAAAAGATGCAAAGTAAAAGGAAGAGGAAAAGTGATATTTAGCTTGCGTGCGCGATTTACCTGATTAATAATAATTATGCAGGCTATTAAAACGTCGGCATGCATTCAACATCAAAGGAGTGCAACTTCTGTATTTAGTACTTTTATTTAGTCTGTGGTATAACAAAAGAAAGTTGAGTTTATTGCCGAGGCAAATGCAATCCATGAAGCTCTACTATATGTTGAATCACTTAGCCTAGACAAAACAGTGATTTTTAGAGATTCTAAGAGTTGTTTATCTGCTATTTTGTCCAACCAATTTCAAAGTAAATATCCCTTAATTCTTAATATAAAGAAGCATTCTGTGTAGACTATCTAAAAGGAATTTCTGTCTGTTTAGGGTACGCGTACACCTAATCCGTCATCGGCCGAACTTTGCCCGGGCGATGACGGCCGAACTCGAACGATCGACTCAAACACTTGTAAAAGAAAGAGAGTGTGTACACAAACACAACCGTCATCGTCCGATAACGCACGAAAACGGCCGATCAACCGTCGAGTTCGAACTTGTTGGAATTTCTCGCCAGATTGCCGGCGTCTACAGTGTAAATTGAGTGTATTTATAGTTTAATTTAATCATTCTGTCTTTATTCTGTTGTTTCTGTCAGTGTTGTTATCTACCTAAACGACTATGGATATTGAAAAATTTATTAGTTGTGTTTATATTAAATAATATAATAGACAAAATTACAATAATCAAGAGGTTTCGAAACGGTTATGGGCTGAAGTTGGATCGGAAATGGATATAGCGGTCCCAGATATTTAAAAAAATGCGTCTTCACTCTGTTAAGCAACACTGTCAACTACAGAATACCGGCCACGTCCAATGTCGGCACGTGGTACACTGTTGCAGTGTAAGCACATACACGTCCGAGTTACTCGTCCGGGTAGTTCTGTCCGCCATCGACCGACAAAAGCGGTTTTGGTGTACGTACACGTACCGTTAGCCTGGATACCTAGTGATAGTGGTATCTGTAGAAATGAAAAAGCAGATTTGTGTGCCAAAGAGGCTACTAGAAATGGCACCCCGCTAAATATTACCTATTACCATGTCTTACTATCACTTGCTAGGAAAAAGTTTGTTAACACATGGAATGAGATATGGAAAGCATAGCAATAGTACTAAAAGGCAAGCACTATGCTGGTATATAAGATAATATTACATGAAGACCTTGGTTTTTCACATTTAATAAAGCAAACAAGCATGCAACTTCTACTGTCTGCCAGTTGAGAATTGGACACACCTGTACTTTTCACCCAGCTAAACTCAGGATTGTGGATAGTTCTGTGCGAATGTGGTTTAGATGAGGGAAGAACTAACCATATATTTTTTGTTTGCACCAAATAGTCATCATCTCTACAATTGTCTGCCCCTTGACATCCTTCATCCTATAGACTCCCTACTAGCCCTCACAAATACCACCTTTTTTGTTTATATTTTATATGAGTTTTGAACTCTAACAATATTAAACTATAATTTGAGTGTCATATAATAAAACATTAATAATGTTTTAACGACATAGGTAAAGCAACAAATAAGTTGACCAAAATCAATCACATAATATTTGTTGTTACATTTTCTTGTATTATAAATTTTCCTTTTTTCTGCAGTTTGCGTCCCAATTAAACCTTTTCGAATGTAACACGTCATTGGCGAATTTGTCGTTAACTTTATGGCGGTGCCATAAAGGAGGAGGGAGAAGAAGAACTTTTTTGTCCTGTGGGTGTCGTAAGAGTAGCGTATGGGTAACTGCCAGAAAGATTTTATGGCTTTCGACAGATGGAGGGGGTATAACCATTTCTTTACACCACTCCATCAAGTGTTTCAAATCTTCCCTACAACGAGAGAAAATCATGTTTGCCATGTGATGTAGGGCAGTCTACACAACTTGTATATATATATATATATATATATATATATATATATATATATATATATGTATATATATATATTAATGTCAATTGTAATTAATAAGTAGCAGTACAATTAAAGTCTTAAACTGAGCAACACGTCTCTTTTTATTCAATACCTTCCGACATTACAGCCAGTGTACAGCCTGACTGCCGTTTGGTCCAGTCTATTGTTGATCCTGGGATTAATAGTTTGTTTAACTGGAATTAATATTGGCTTTTTTTGTCAAAAAATTCTCACTAGCAGCCCAGATACAGAAAGTTGGCGGTGTTTCACCCCGTGCCTAGAAAAGCACGTGAAAGTCTGGCACGTAAAGTTGGTGGTCCTGCACCTAATTTCTCCGGTCGTGTCTAATTACCGTACCATTGGACTGTGAGAGTGAGAGAATAGAGAGAGGACTTATACTTGCACATACACTTTGGCACTGTAATCACATCCTGGGCAGATGGCTAGTCTCCGTTGAGACTGGACGCCGTGACCGAAATTCGGTCTGGTGGACATTATTATTATTACATTCTGATGAGGAAAGAACAGGGAAATAATTGTGCAACTCACTTGGGCGTGATAATTTCCTTGTAGGTGAGTATCTCGGGGCGCGTGTTTGCGGCGATACTTTGGGGGATGACGATGTTGTCGATGTCGTACGACGGCCGTCGGTATCCGCGTGTTTCTGTGCTGGGACGACCACGCGGTCTGCAAAACATTAAACAACCGATTATTATCGTAATACTCACGCCTGTCACCCAGAGGGGTAGGTAGAGACAATAAACTCCATTTGGCACGATCCTGACCCACCTCTTTCAACTCCTCCACATCCATATACATACCTACGCATACATACACGCAGGTAGGTTTAGGGTACTCTTAATTTGGCCCATTTTCAATATATCGCCAATTTAATATAAACTTTCCCCTAGGGCGTGCTTCCCGACTGCCGTTCACCTCTGCAACATAAATTTGCTTTGTCACTCTTTCCTCATTCATATTTTCTACATGACCAAACCGCCGAAGCATTCCTTTCTTAATCCTGGTAACAACATCATCTTGCAAACCACACTCTTCTGTTATCACACAATTTCTCACCCTGTCATTCAGATTCAGGCCTTCTTAAGCTGAAACATACGGTTTGCTTTCGGCCATATTCCCGCGAGATAGCGCTGAAGTCATAATTTTTTAGTTTATTTAGGATTTTGTGTAACTGGAACATTATTAAGTCGTAGAAGTAGCTCCCGCGTTACTCGGACATTATACTATATTGTACTAGGTCCTATCATTTAAAGTCTTAGAACCCACACAATTCGACACGAAGCCCTAAAATAACATCTGTCATTGAATATTATAGTGTCGTTTACACACACAGACGTGGCTGAATTCCTAGTCCCTACGTTTACGAAGATTGAACACTAACAAAAAACATTTTTTTTCTGTTTGGGTTCTATATAATATATTATGTACGATTCATCACCTGTCTAGCCTTTTTCCCAACTATATTGGGGTCGGCTCCCAGTCAAGCCGGATTCGGACGCGTCCTTAACGTAAAGTTTATAGTGCAGATTAACGAAATAAATCAAACGCACAGTATTTGAACTGCTATATAGGCCTGAATCTGAAGCTGAAAATTTTCACCAAACGGTGATGAGATATGAAACAAACGGTAATTAGTATTTTAAAAATGGTAATTATGCTACGTGAGTGGTAATTATAAATAAAATGAATGATGTACTTAAATCACATATTTATTTATTACATGACTTAATTTAAAAAAAAATTGTCGGAAATCCACCGGTTTTCCTAATAATTTAATTAGGTCAGTAAAAATTAATTTGTCTAGTAATTAAAATAAAACCATCTAATACATTAGTTAAAAACTCAGTGTAAATAGAACACAGAGTTATACAAGTTCCATCTAAGATATTTCTTAAAATCGATGAAATCTTATACAATAAAACTTAAAAACAGATTTACAATTAAATCCAAATTAGTTTCTATTTTATAACCAGAAACCGAGCATGTACTTAATCATAAAGTCTTAAGTAGATCTGTAAGATAAACACGGCAATTATAGACAGGAAAATACAAAACATTTGATGTTTCTATCAAACTTTGGTAAATATAACTTAGACTTAATTTTAAAAATTAAGGAAAATAAAAACAAAATAAACAGGTTTTCAAAACAAAAACAATTGTAATTATCTTTCTAGTAATCTTAATAAAATCAACTAAAACACTACTTCAAAACTTTTAAATAGAACTCAGCACTATACCGGTTTCTTCTACAATATTTCTTAAATGTGATGAGATCAGTTACAATAACTATAAAATATTTAAAATTCAATTCGAATCCGTACCACTTTCACGACCAAGAACTTCGCAGGTAGTCTCAAATGCAGTCTCTTGTGGATCAGCTAGATCATCACACAGCAATGATCCGAGAACATTAAGCTGGTCATCAATTATTTCATTTGCACTTAATTGTAATGTAGATTGAACATAAGTCTCCACAAACAAAAAAAACATCCAAAAAAATTCATATCACTGCCACTGCCAGAAATATTTACCACATTCTCAACTTGTATATTAGGGTCCAAGTTTAATTCATCATCAGGTTTTAAATCAGACAGCATTTTAAGGGTGGTTTCGTCTCCTTTGCGGTTTGACTTTAGTAAAACATTACTTAAGATTTTAATATTCCTTTTATTCTGTGTAGTTTTAGGTTTTACGTTTGTGGTCGTATCAGTCATATTATGATTTTCATTCTCTTTATTTCTGATAAGTGTAGATTCTTTTTTGTCTTCATAATGTAATTTTCTGAAAAGTTTAGTATGTTCACAGTCCACGCCTAAGCATTTGATACACAGTATTTGATGAACTTTCAATGTACCTTTCAATGGTTTCAGCTATTCTGAAGATATCAATACATCTTTTTCTATTGTATGGTATTATTTCACAGTTGCCAGCTTAATTTTTTTGTGTATTTTGTCCTACGATTTTCAAAAATCCATCTAATTTAGCAACATCTCTACCTTACGCTGCAGCAGCAGTGCATTTAACAACTCCTCCTATTTCACCTGTGTCATTTTTTCAACTAACAAAAGTTGTTTTTGTATCGTTGTCATTCTTTTTATTCTTCAATGGCGTATAAAATAGGGTCAGCTTTGGTTTTAGCGTATCGATTCTGGCGTGTGATTTTGGATTTAACCAATGTTTCCTCCTTCGACTTACTCTATAAAGAATAAGTTAGGTAGTCAGTCTGTAGGTTTAATTTTTTGCGGAAGTGGTGTCAGTTCACATCAAGCAAGCAATAATTGATCACGCTCTGGTAGTAACACAATTCGACCGTGGGCTGCAGGCTGGTGCAATTTCCATAGTAAAAATTATATGTACTACAGTGGTCAAATTTTAATGACGGTTATCTCTTCTTTATGCTTTTCGTAATATGTTTATTAACGTGACATTGTCAAATCAAATAGGTTCAAATGTCAAATCAAACAATTATATTTGTATATATTTTATTTATTAAGATTGCTTATATTTACGCGTCCTCCGTGACCACGGGTGCTGGAAAGCACCCGAAACGTCGGGAATATAAAAATAAGTTAATATACGCGATAAAATCCGTAAAATTAGTTTTATTTAAAAATATTAAGATTGCTTTTAATTTTGCTAAAGGAGCCATTGTTCATTTACAGAATTATTAAAAAATTAAATATGCATTATAAAAATTTTCCAATTAAATGGTTCAAGAAGCGGAAAAAATTATAACAAGAAAAGGCTATTTGTAGTAATATTTCCCTTAGATGATGAAAGGTATGTGGTGATTTCAACTTAATATGATATTTAACGCGAGTACATTTTTGGACTAGCCATCTACGTAGGACAGGTTTTTATAGTGTACGATTGTATACACAAATACAAACACATTATTTCCTAAATCTGATAGTTTGATGGTATGGCAATCCGAAACAAACTATATATGCGTGGTAAAGCCATGCTGCAGCTATATTAGTAGTATAGTTGTAGCACGAATGGATCGACTCCACCGGGAATGGACCACGCTCTCACAGAATACCAGTGTAAAATAGCAGCTTAACACTGCTGTGTTTCGTATGGTGAGTGTAGAGAACCGGCGACCTTTTTTACTGGAAAAGAGGCATTCCATGTTAATCCTCACGGGTGACAACGCATCTGCATTTTGATTTACAACCGAGGATACATGTAGATGTCTATGGGCCACTGCAACCATTTACCATCAGGTGGATTGTGTGCTCATTTGTCACCCTATCCTATAAAAAAATATACTTAGATACTACACAGTCTATTGTGACTGCTTACATTCAATTTGTTCAATAATAATGTGATTTTATTTATATTATTTTTCAGATGCAAGCAATGGGTGAAATAGCTGCAACATGCACCAATTGAAAAGATTCACATGTTAAAACATATTTGTGGCAAACATTGCATTTGAACCCAACTAAAACGAACTGTTATTTCATCGGTGGACTTAATATAAACTTCCACAATTATGTGTATGTTAAATAGGTTTCATTTATATGTAGCAAAAGATAATATCCCTCTTAAGTCACATTTTGGTAAGAATTCGATTATATAAATAATCTCAGTTATTTGTAATTAATTACCTGGTTATAAATATTTTTTTATAGATTCATCTACAGACATTAGCTATAATGAGCACTCATTTTAAAAACGACAATTAGTAAACAATCTCTGCGAATAGTATGTACATAGGTACCTCTGTGAAAAAGCCTAGCGATTTCTACATAGTATTTGTTACACATAAAAGCAATTCAGTCCAATCAGTGTTAAAAACCTAATATTATTACCCTTAAAAAAAACGTTGAAAACAAGTATCCAGACGCAGACTATTTATTTTACAGCATAGCAACACTTGTTCAGTGCGGGAACGAAGCCTCGGTCCTGCAATGCCACAGCCAAACGCTTAGCCACTGAGCTATGGAGTCGTCGTATATGTTTTACTTAATTAATTACTAGTATAATACTAGTGTATTACGCAGTATTATACTAGTGTATAATACTGCGTTTTTTATTTTATATTTTCTTTATACATATTTTTGTACCTAATTGTAGAAATATAATTACAAATTGCTGTGTGTAAAATACATTGATTTCATATCCGCGTCGGCATTTTTACTCAATCCCCACGTTAAAAAATTTATTTCTCATAAATAATTCAGTATAGAGATCTAACTTTTATTATGTAAAAATATCGATAAACAATATGTCGATAATGGTTATATCGATAAAATTATTCGAGGATAGACATTTACAGCACTATTGTAATTCGTCAATGTTGTCAACACTGTTTGTCAAAACTAAATGTCATATCTTGATGTTGGTAGAGTAGCTTGGCGTACTTTCATGCATTTACTTTTACTATGGAAGCCCCGCCTCTTAAACGTAGTGGTTATATTCTCTTTGGTGGGCAGGCCTAGCGGAGTGAAGAATTTCAATATAATAAGAGGCCAGCTTATACTGGTACTAATTACCATTTTCGATTTCCCATTACCGTTCCGCCAAAATGGTAATTGTACAAACGGTAATTAGATATTTGTACACTTTCTCACATTATACATTCTTTATAGAACTTATTAATTCGGGAACTTAATCAAAGCAAAGAGTGTCCTATGGTGACTATTACAGTGCATAAAATGATAAATAAGAATAATAGACTTACTACGGGAAACTCGAACGGTAAGGAGATTTTTGTTTGCCAAACACGATTTCTGGGCGATTAAGGTAGGCTATAGTTGGCGCCAAAAGACTACCGTACGTATGACCCGCACGAGTTGTGGGGCAAAACTGAGCGCGACCGCTGAGTTACCCTTTCAGGGACCAATACATACGCGACAAAAAAATAACCCTGTGACTGTGTGGACAAATGGTAGTGAGTATAAAGTTTTGGGACAATTTTCAAAGTCGTTACAAATTACTTAAAAGTGTTCTTTAATGTGTGTAGTTTTGCTAATTAGTAAAGCATGTAGTGTACTATCTAAATTTCTACAAAAATATACAATCTTCGGGGTTTATTTACAACTTTTCGAGCATGAACTGATAAAAGAACAATGGCAGACTTTCATACATAAAATTAGTTGAGATGGAATGGTAGCGTCTATATATCAAAAATATCTTAAAATGATAAGCGTCAAAAAATTTTTTTTGACGCTTAACAAATAAAAAATATAAAATAAAAAACGCAGTATCATACACTAATATAATACTGCGTAATACACTAGTATTATACTAGTAATTAATTAAGTAAAAACATATACGACGACTCCGTAGCTCAGTGGCTAAACGTTTTGCGGTGGCATTGCAGGACCGAGGCTTCGTTCCCGCACTGAACAAGTGTTGCTATGCTGTAAAATAAATAGACTTTTCTGTCAAAAAATTTTGACCTGAGAAGGCGTCAAAAAAAAGATATTTAGATTTGAACCTTTTTAGGTTATGTCTTATGTCACTTGGAAAAAGTTATGCTTCTTGTGGTTGTTTGATGTTAGCTTAATACATAATTGAGTTTTTAGATTATTGTATCTCTATTATATATTTACATACAATAAATGTTTATTTCTGGCATGGCTCCAGGGCCTTTGTGTCATAGTGACATTCTCAGAGGAGCTAGAACCCAGAGCCGTAAAGCCAATAAAAAAAAACAGTGAATTTGTTTTAGCTAGTGTTGCCATAACATTAAATGGAATTGTTACATAGCACTATGATTGAGATAATGTATTATTGTAGGAATTTCTTTGTAAGAGACTTATTCTCAACCATATCACTTATTATTTTACTATTGATAGTAAAGTTATTACTAATAATAACTTAATATAAAAATATTTTATGTGCTGTGTTGGTAGTCTTACAAAGTGTATACGAAAATAGTACGAATATAGTAAATGGCAACGCTTGAATAGAGTAAAATGATTTTAGTCATTTGACATTCCCAAAAATGTTTGTTTTTTTCTGTGGCTTTAATTAAAATACATTTTTATTTGAAAAATCATAGAAAAATAATAAAACTCATTTTATATATAACTTATTTCTAGATGCGATAATTTTTGTCAACTATTTTTTTGCCATTGTTCTTTGGAAATTGGGAGACGAATGGTGAGAGATTTGAGGAATGTTTATGAATGTAACTCAGTTGTTTATAACAATAGGAAAATGTTATATACTACAGGAACCATGTTTTACGTGAAATAAAAAAAATATAACTTTATATCTCACTAAGTATTTATTTGGGGAAGGCCGCGTAATATGCACATGTTCAAAGAATCACCCAATTACTTCAGAATGTATTTTATTTTATTACAGTCAAACAAGCGAACGAAGTTTGACAACACTTTTCTTCTTTCAACGTAGTGCATTTAGTTCAAGGTTAGGAAGTACGGCATCGTTGCATAATATCTACCCACGAATAATGGTATTTGTTACACTACAATATCGTCTGCACGTCATCTAGCGTGCCAATGCTTAAACGGTTTATGGCGCTTTTGCTTGTCAAAGATGTCAAAAGTCACTCACACTACTAGTGTCAAAATTTTTCTAGATTTCATTATTGTTTTTCTTATTATATACTGTAAGTTCCATCCGAAAAAAGTCAACCGCGTGCACATTTCTGAGTAGAAAAGTGATAAAATGATTAGTTTTAAACAAATAGTGTCTGTGCTTAGCGTATATGTCCAGACAAAAGTGTATGAGCGGCTATCGGAGCATCCACCTTAATGACCGCATTTCTACAGCATTTATTCTACTCTCGTGCTTCTTCTGCTACACCCAACTTTCATTACCATACATTAAAGTTGATATTAACACACAATTGTGAATTGACACACGTGCCTTTTTGGACACATTCTGACTTCCCACAATAGAGTATAGAGCCCCATTTTTTTAACATAATAAGAACAGCTGTTAATATTTACCTACTCAACCACAATAAATTCCAAATATGATACAGCCGTGGTAGCCTAGGGGCTTAGCGCTCGCTATAAATTTCACAGACCGCGAGCAACCAGGGTTTGATCCCCGGCAGCACCAATAAAATTGTTAATTGCGATCTTAAGTGCTGATTTACCATGTGCTCCGCGGTGCAGGAAAACATCATATGGAAACCTGTGTCTGAGAAATAATAAAATATTTCTAAAACCACATGTCTTTCAGTCCACCAACACGCATTGGGGCAGCATGGCGAACACTTCCTTGCTCTAAAACCCTCTCAGAAATGAGAAGAGGCCTGTGCTCAGCAGTGGTAGGTATATAGGCTGTAACTTTACTTTACTTTTTATGGTACACAAAACTATAATGATATATGTGTCAAAATAAGCTGCACACTGTTGAAGCTTAATTTTGGGTTAAGTTTGGTTTTTAGCTGGAATTCCAAAACTAGGATTTGCGGCGCACCAGCCAGGCACTCCGAGACTAGACCACGTGGTAATTAAATGTGAAACAAAGTACTAGTACTTTGTTTTGTACTTTGTGTGTGTACTTAATATTTATGTAAACATAACTTAATCTAGAAAATATAAAACCTTTTTCACGCCTTGTCAAATTTCACATGTTCTGGATACATTTTCTCAGTGATTTAATTGCTCTCTTTTTTGAAATTTCATGTAAAGATGGTACACCACAAAAAAATATCATCGTACCTTTCTTTTCCGGCTGAGGATGTTTCTTCATCTCTCTCTCTTTCCTTAATTTTTCTTGATAAAGGTGGTCTTCCTCTTTTCAATCCTGTAAAAGTTATGGTAATAAGTTTCCTTGTATTTGTTTCAAAATGAAAGAGTCACTACAGGAATCAACAGAAGGGTTTTCAAATTGGCATTTTATTAGATAGCATGTACAAATAGTTTCACATACAAACTGTGACTTCTAAAAGCAGCTAATAGTATCAGTTCTTGGTGTCTACCATTACAGCCTCTTCTTAGTTTTTGGGAAGGGTTATAGAATATATTGGTTTTCAAAAATAAATAATTTTTTAAGATTTCAATCTTTTTTTGTAGTTTTTTGGTGTGTATGTTACTTACTAGCTGGCTTGTGTGCTAGAGAAGTGTGGGTGGTTAAGACTGGTGTGGATGCTATCGACCTGCATACATGCAATTGATCAATGTGCGTGTAAACAAGTACCGTCTACCTGATGGCAAATAAATGCTGTGGCCCATTAGAATTAATAAGTAATTAAGAATCAAAATTCAGGTGCGTTGTCACTGTTGAGAATTGAAATGGAATGCCTAAAAGGGTTTCCGGTTCACTACAATTACTATACGAAACACAAGCACAACATTAAGCTGCTATTTCGCGCTGGTATTGTGAAATTCCCCAGTTTCTTTTTTTTTTTAAACTTTACCTCAACACTAGAATTTTCTTCTGTATTGTTGGGGCACTTAACATATATAAATTTCACAGGAACAAACATGAAACCAGAGCTGGAACAATTATTTGTAGTCCATACAAATGGCAGTTTCGTGCGGGATTCGAACCCGCGGAGCTTAGTGTTACAAGTCATTGCTAAGCCACTGCGACAAGGAGCCGGAGCCATTCGTGCTACAAGCATAAGATAGTTGCAGCGCGAGTGTAGCAGGTAAAGGTACTGACTGGTGGGGTGTCGCCTGGTGTGCGAGGGCGCGTGCGCGGGCGAGGCGGGCGAGGCGTGCGGGTGTGCGGGGGCGGGGGGGCCGGGCGCGCGCGGCGGCCCGCCGTGGTGCGCGCCGCGCCACGCCCGGCTGCAGCGCGCCCGGAACCACGCGCGCGACGTCAGCGCCGCCATGTGCACCGATGCTGACACATCTGAATATAATAAAATACATCATTATTATTCAAAATTTATTATTTTACCCTATAATGGCGGTGTAAGAGTATCCGCCACACCATATCATCCCGTGAGTGTCGTAAGAGGCGACAGAGCGAAACAAATCAGGATATGGGCAGCAGCATCTTCCTAATAACAACTAAAAAAAAAACTGCGGTTGCTAACCCACTTGCCAAGCATGGTAACTATGACAAATACGAGGGCGGCACTGAAAATTTCGGGAATCAAGGAAGTGACACAACATTACCATTTAAAAAGGTATTTATTGCTTTTCGAAGTATTCTCCGCGATATTTGACACATTTTTCCATACGATGGAACCAATCATTGAAGCAACCATTCCATTCGGAAGTTGGAGTTTCCAAAATGGGCGTTTTGTAGGCGTCCACAGCTTCTTCAGGTGATGAAAATCTCTGTCGCCGATTGCACTTCTCTTTACGGAGTTCAAAAACGATCTGTGGCAAACAAATGCTAGCATACCATTCTGCATTAACCGTTCTTTGTCCCTCAAGAGGAATAGTAGTAACATGGCCGGTTTTGGAGACAAACGTGGCCACCATTTTTTATTTTGCAACACTTCGTGAACGAACAATTTTTGTTGGCTTTAACTCATTTTCAAACACCCAAACTCGTGACTGGTTTTTTGTTTCGGATTCGTACGCGTATATCCAGGATTCGTCACCTGATACGATGTTGTATACAGCATTTGAGGATCATGCGTGTAATATTTCGAGAATTCTGACGAACCAAGTAACGCGAGCCGCTTTTTGCTCTTCACAGAGCGAATGCGGTATCCATCGGGAAAACAACTTTTTTACACCTGATTGTTCATGCAAGATCATTTGTATTTGACTCATGCCAATGTCTAAAGTTGCCTGAATTTCGCGGTAGTCACATGTCGATCTTCCTCAATCAGCTTATGCACAGCATCAACGTTTTCTTGGGTGACTGCAGTTTTTGGACGACCTTGACGGGGATCATCACTGAGCTTGACACGTCCACGTTGAAATTCAGCAAACCAGCGATAAATTGTGGTTTTGGATGGGGCTTCATCACCAAATGCAGAAATCATCCGGTCAACACACTGTTTTTGTGTTAAACCACTTCGAAAGTCATAATAAATCATCGCACTTGAATTTTTTCGAGTCAATTCCATTTTCTCAACGACTAAACAAGTTTGACAAAACCTTGTGACAAGACCGAGAATCTTTTTTAAAATAAATAAATGGTATTCGATTTTTAAAACCAAGGACTTTTCAATTAAAAATATTTTAATATGACAGGAACAGTGGAAATATTCCATTCCCGATACTTTTAGTGCAGCCTCTGTATTCCCCCCTATGAGGCAATCAATGTTCAACAGCAGACTTTAAATAGGCTGTAACAGTAATATTACATAATAATTCTTATTGAAAGTCACAAGATACCCAGCAAATATTTTAATTTAACAATTATTTTACACAATTTTTTAAATGAATTTAAATAGAACCAGCATGGTGGCAATCACCTCATTCCCAGGGGTTATTTTCATTTATGCATTCCCTTATATTATAATACCCCTTTTTGTACAATTTTTCTTTAATAAAACATTTTCGCTTATTTTTTGACAAACTTAACATTTTTTTGGGATTTTGTTGTAAAAGCATATTGCCCCATAAATTAATTACTAATTTTGTGTAGTCTAGTAACTGACATTACAAGCTTTTTAATGTTTGTTCTTATAATCTGACAATCATGTTTCCATTTTAAACACTCATTAAAAATAATATGCATAAAAGTACGCTCTAAACGAAAGTTCAATCAATCAATTTTTCTTTTATTTCAATAAACTACAATTAATTCAAATAATGCCTTAATCTAAAAATAGGCTACAATTATAGATACCTGTGAACTAGGATAATCCTGTATCTTAGGTGTAATGTGCTAATAAATGAATAACATACCATGTAATTTAGAGTTAATTTCGTAAAATATATTACCACAAATTAACTTAAAACAATCAGTCACTTTTTCGTATTATTATATAACAAAGAGCAATGGCAGAAAAATAGTTGACAAAAATTATTGCGTCTAGAAATAAGTTATATATAAAATGAGTTTTATTATTTTTCTATGATTTTTCAAATAAAATGTATTTTAATTAAAGCCACAGAAAAAAAACAAACATTTTTGGGAATATCAAATTACTTAAATCATTTTACTCTGTTCAAGTGTTGCCATTTAGTATATTCATACTATTTTCGTATATACTTTGTAAGACTACCAACACAACACACAAAATATTTTTATACTAAGTTATTATTGGTAATAACTGTACTATCAGTAATAATAAAAATAAAAGAGATATGGCTGAGAATAAGTCTCTTACAAAGAATTTCCTACAATAATACATTATCTCAATCATAGTACTGTTTTTTTTTAGGATAAGGGTGACAAACGAGCACACAATCCACCTGATGGTAAGTGGTTGCTGCGGCCCATAGACATCTACATCTATCCTCTATTACAAATCAAAATGCAGATGCGTTGTCACCCGTGAGGACTAAGATGGAATGCCTCATTTCCAGTAAAAAGGCGCCCCGGCCACCTGCACTCACCAAGCGAAACGCAGAGGTAAACCTCTACTTCACGCTGGTATTCTGTGAGGTCGTGGTACCACCCCGGTTTGAGCCCGCCCATCCATGCGACAGACTACTATGTAACAATTCCATTTAATGTTATACCAACACTAGCTAAAACAAAATGTCACTGTTTTTTTACTGGCATTACGGCTCTGGATTCTAGACCTTCTGAGAATGTCACTATGATACAAAGGCCCTAGAGCCATGCCAGAAATATACATTTATAGTATGCACATATATAATAGAGATACAATAATCTAAAAACTCTCAATTATGTATTAAGCTAACATCAAACAATCACAGGAAGCATGACTTTTGCCAAGTGACATAGGACATAACCTAAAAAGGTTCAAATGTAAATATCTTTTTTTTTGACGCCTTCTCAGGACAAAATTCTTTGACAGAGTTATTAAGGGACTGACGCTTAACATTTTAAGATATTTTTGATATATAGACGCTACCATTTCTTCTCAACTAATTTTATGTATGAAAGTCTGCCATTGCTCTTTGTAAGCATGTTCAAATTACATTTTTACAATCTGCCACTTTTACTGAATGTGCAAAACTCTACATTTACTCAACACACAAAATTGTATTTATTTGACACAGAAAAGGACCAAGTAATGTAAAAAAATCTAAGCATGAAAGAATGCATTATTCTAATGTTGAGCATAAAAATTGACAATATATTGAAAATGGGCCAGATTTTGAGTACACTTAACCGACCAGCATGTATGCGTATTTATATGGCTGGGTGAAATTCGGAAGAGTGCGAATCGATAGTGGCAGTAATAAGTGTGACTGAGTTCTTTAGTTTAGAAGAATATTTGCACATCAGACCGTTTTATTACGATATATTATTCATTATTAGCATTATTAGCACCTATTAAAGTCTGAACAAAAGCCTCTCCTATAGATTGCTTTTGCTACACTTGGCAGGCAGGTTGGCAAAGCCATTTCATTTTTATTTTCACTTTTTTTTAGGAAGATGCTGCTTCCCATCAATCTCCTCTTCCATCACCTCTTACGACACCTACAGGACACTATAGGCTAACAGGAGGCTTAGTTTTTTATACATTATTTACTTTCAAGTCACTTCACGTGATTCAAATCACCACACTCCCTTTCCAATGCAATCCTTTCCTTAAGCTTCTTTTATTTTTCTTCATTATGTTAATGATGCAAATAAATTTGTTATAAAATTATCATTGATACAAAAAAACTATAAAAAACACTTACACCTCTCATACTATTAAATTGTTGAAAATTACTCCAACTTACAATATTATAACTTTCTTTGTATTCTAAGTAAATAAGCATAATTATGTGTATATAAAACTATTTTGTCAATCTTGAATAAGATTCGCATTTGCTTTCATATTAATATTAGCTTTCGCAATGCAAACCTGCACTTCACTAGCTTGCACTTTTTACATTTAAAAATTCATAACTCAGAAATAAGTAAACAAAGGCCATTTTAGTACCACTGCAAACAAGGTTTCATTTTAAACCAAACTTAATATCTTAAAAATGTCAATTTAATGAACTAATTAATAATATGAACGAAATATTAGTACACTACTAAATACTAATCACCGAAGTGGCAAGCATTCCTCAACTTAGTTCCTTTACCTTTGATATCACTGAGCACTGGATGGTATCCAGGATCGACAAGAGCGATTCGCTGAGCGGGCGGTAACGTACACCAGACTTGCGGTTGCGTCGCTTCCACTCGCCCTGTGCATACTGCACAACTCTCCAACGGCTGACGACAGCTACATCTGGAAAACAATTTATAAATCATTCATTTATTGCAGCCCATCAAAGTCCACTGCTGAACTTCAACGTTCCCCTAGATTACCTCATAGAGGGGTATTTGCCATATTTGCCTTGGCAGGCATCTTGGCAATGAGTTTCCTTATTGAGTTCTTATCAGCAAGATGCTGCTGGACATCTCCAGGTTTGTTTCCCTCTGTCGTCTGCTACAACAGCACCTAATTAAGTTTTCCAACGTAGCTTACCCACAGGATGATATGAGGTAGTGAATTCTATACATACTTCTGGATGATTTACGGTCTCCAACTATGTGATTTATGAGAAGTTTTCTTCGTCGCACAACTTCTTTGTGGTATTTTTTCCGGACACACTTACAACTTAGCAACCTTCAAGGCTGGCAACACACTTAGGATTCTCCTGCTGTTGGTTCATGGGCACTTAACACCAGATGAGCCACATGACAGTTTGCACTTTCTTATATATATATATATATATTGTTACATTACATCTCTCATAAATATTTTAACGTACCAATGGGTCATATTTTTTCAGAAAATTTGGAACTTCCAAAATAGATACCAATGATTTATTATTTTATCCTTTGTTGTTTTATTTATAGGATAGGGTGACAAACGAGCAACAGTCCACCTGATGGTAAGTGGTTGCTGTGGCCCATAGACATCTACATCTATCCTCGTTTGGGAAAAAATACAGATGCGTTGTCACCCGTGAGGACTAAGATGGAATGCCTCTTTTCCAGTAAAAAAGGTCTCCGGTTCTCTACACTCACCATACGAAACACAGCAGTGTTAAGCTGCTATTTTACGTTGGTATTCTGTGAGAGCGTGGTCCTTCCCCGGTCGATCCGACCCATTCGTGCTACAACTATACTACTAATATAGCTGCAGCATGGCTCTACCACGTACACTGTCAGGCCTGTCATTCTTGCTACCTGTGTGAAATAATTACCTACAATCGTGTGGCGCCCCTAGGGCAGAACGTAGTAGGGGCTGTTTTTTTACCGCTGTTTACGTAAATAGTCCTAGTGTATAGTTTTTTGTAAATACTTGTTGAAATACTCGTCGAAATAGTTTTTTATTAAATTATAATGGCAAAACTTCGTTCCTACTATAATTATTGCGGGGGATGAATGCTTAGTGAGCAATTAAAAGGATTCAGATATATCATTTTTTTTAACTACAGAAGTAATACTAAGTACTTTATTATAAAACTTAGTTGAAATTTACTTCACTACCCAAGTACTTACTTCCATACCTATACTTGTCTTTTAAATTAAAATATTTTAAGTTATGATAGCACAAAATACTGAAATTAAAACTTTGTTTACAAAATTTTTAACTGAGTAGAATATAATCATGTTTCTGTTAGGAATCGTATTTCGGGTTTATTTGTTGTTTAACATTGTTGTGGAACATCGCGATACCCGACGAATGGCCTTGCAAGTTGCATGTGTTGGGCATTACAGAACTCACTTAGTAGTAGAATAGATATTTTAACTTACCATTTCACAATATATTTTTTACTCTTTATTAACAACAGCCATTACTAACCACGAAAAGTCCGTTGTGACGTAGGAAAGGGAAAAGACGCAAAGTAATACGAATACTAGTGCGCGATTCATCTGATTAATAAAAATTATATAGGCTATTAAAACGTCGGCAAGCAAACAACATCAAAGGAGTGCAACCTCTGTACGTAGTACTATTATTTATTCTGTGACACTGTCAACAAAGCATTACAAAGAGAGGACTTAATTCTTTATGACATTATAATATTGTGTGAAAAATAAGCCCCGCACGCAGCCGTCCGCAGTATGGTAGGTTTTGCTTTGTCAGATTTTAAAGATGGTCGTAAACGTGACTCTTGTTCATACGGTCTCGAGTTTGAATCTCAGATCAGACCAAAAATCAGTTATTGAAATTTTCTGTCAAGAATTTGTCTTGTAAAGCATGTAAAGCTGTTGGTCCTGTGCTTGATCTATCTCCCGTCGTGTCGGATTGCTGTCCCATAACTATGAGTGAGGGAATGCACCTGTGCTTGCGGATGCTCTCAAGCACTACAATCCTGTCCTGTGCAAATGGCTAGTCTCCATTGAAACTGGCAAAATTCAAACTGGAGGACACTAATTTTGAAGAGCATTTTATACACCTTATATTGCTAAGTATGGATATTTTAAGTCTAACTTACTTAATATCGGAGGGTTTAGCAGCCTTTGGTGTTGCAATATGTAAATTATGCATTTGCAAGAGTTTCCTCTTTTTAAATGTATCCCTTCTCAGAGGACGTACTCTGGCACAAGTAGCGGGGATGTTGTCATCATTTCCAGGTAGTGAGCCTTCATAGCCAACTGGCTCACCTTCTAACTCTACTGGACCTTTGGCATCACGGACCTGAAATAATTAGTAATATAAAAATCATAAAATATTACGAAAAATAAGTTGTGTATAACTATTAGTAATACTATTAACCGCGCGCAGAAATTTTGCCGATGGCGTCATGACGTCACGTGTCGATTGTTACGGTAGACAATAGGGATTTATTCAAATTCAAAATATTTATTATAAGTTAAATGTAATTAATAAGTGATGAGGAAGTAGGCAGTTTTTGTATCTGCTTTCTAGGATAAGGAGCATTATCAATAACTACTATGCCATTTGGAAGTAAGTTTGGAATGAGCTTTTTGCTTAACCATTTCAAAAAATTATCACTATTCATTTCGGCATGATAGTCACCCGTGGAACTCATATATTTGTAAATTAGTTCTGCATTTTCTATGAAGCCCTTCTCACCCCCAGTGTGAACTATAATCCACCTTTGGCCGGGATTAAAATTCTTTTTTACACTAGTGTCTAGAGAATTTTGCGACAGTGTAATGGCTATGAATCCAGGTTTCATAGACGTATGTGACAGGTTTCTTATCAGCACCAAATTCGTCATTTTCCTTTAACCGTCGTCCGGTTTTCGTACAAGAAAATCTCTAATATTTTTTCCATTATCGGAATCTATAACCCAGCTTTTCTTTTAATATTTTTCTCAATGATGTCTTTTAACCAGGAAAGTTCAATTCGGTTTTTGCAACTGTTAATATTTTTCTAACGGTTGGTATTTCTTTTTTACGCTATAAAAACTCTCCACAATATTTCTAATAGCACAAATGTTAAAATCGTCAATGTCTAGCATCGTTCCACTAGGCTTCTTTTTCATTCTAAGTTTTCCTTCTTGTATATCAGCCGATGTGCCTGGTGTAGGTGTAGTGCTGCTAAGCTTCTTGGCATCATTCTTTATATTTCGTTAGGGTTCAAATACTCACTCCAGTGGCCTCACTAGCGCGATGTAATGCACGTTCAAAGGGAATTATAGGTGAACCTTTTTGTTTTTCCTTCTCAAAAAACGTTAGAACCTTTAAAATAATATCACATTCTCCACTGCTATAGGCTTTCTCTTGACACACTTTAATTAAAAAAAAAAAAACTTAACAAGAAAACTATGAATAATTGCAGAGTGAGAACAATAAATTTAAAGACGTTGCTAACGGTACTAACTAGGCGAGCGCGCGACGCGGTCCGTGGAGGCGTGAGGGGTAGTCGTCGGCAAAGTTGCTGCGCCCGGCTTATATATAAAATTTTCAAAACCAGTCTTTCAGGGGCAAGGATTGGCAATGAAAGACTTGCACCACACACAACACAACAAGGAAACACGTTTGAACACATCTGCGACCCACCAGCGCCAGCCGCCCTTTGGCGGCCTCTTGGAAGAAGACACCTCCCTATCCAAGGTGTCCCTGAACACAAAGCGCGCGTTCCTTTACGGCCTTCATCACCTTCATGTGCGAAACTGCCAAACGCCCTCGCCTTGTGCTCGTTATGGATTGGCCACGGGGTTAGAACAATCGGGCATTTGCAAATACACGACTCCCCACCCCAGCGGTGGATCTGATCTATGGCTTAGCCGCTGACCAAGTTTTCGCGGCGAAGTGTAGAGAGAGCAACGCCTCATAATACCGACTTTCCCGACCATGACCTTGCGATACTAGTCCGAGGAAAATCTGCCATCATCAAGCCATAAGCCATAGACGTGTGTCAATTGTGAACTATTAGATCTTTTGGCCCAGGTCATGTTAAAGTATTGTTGATTGTAAACATTTTTTAGTGGTATGTAAAAACAATTATAAGCCACATTAATTTTAAAACAATAGAAGAAATAGAAAAAGAAGAAAAATAACAGAAACAGAAATAGACAAGAATACAAACAGAAGAATGGAGGAGGTATGAAGAAACTTTTGCCAAAAAAATATTTATTTGTTAATATAAATTGCTTAATTCCATAAGTATGTTAAGAGTGTAATGTAAGTTACTGACGATTTAAATGGTTTAATTAATAACCTATATCTACGTTAGATAATATTTAAGGTAATTAAAAGGTCTGAATAAAAGGTTATGTTATTACTATTGGAAAAATTTAAATTTACTCAACCTTTTTGCAAAAGTTGGTAATAACTGTAAATATGGGCTTTTAGCCAAGTAAATTACAGTGTGTGGTGGGTATCAAATGTAGATGTAGGTATTGTGGGACTTTCGAACTATTTCATTTTTCTCCAGCTGCAGGAACTTTCTCACTATCCTGCAAGTATTTAAAATTGCAGCTTTTTGTGGGGCTATGTATGTGTTTACTGTTAACAAAGTTTTTTTTTGTCTATATGGCCCTTGGTATTGTGGTTATGTCACAATAATTCTGCCAATATCCAGTCTTTGGTCTGTCACACCTTGTCTTGAGGCTTTTCGGTGGAAAAGGAGTTAGCGGTTATTTTATGTTTGTGTGTTATATAACTTACATTTAATAACTTGACATTTCGAACTAAACTTGAATCGACTACCACCTATATTATTTGGTAATTTAAAAAAAAAGTTTGCATGCCGTATCTCATGGCTAAATAGGTCTTTAAGCAACTTATTTTTATTGTAAAACTTACCCTATTTATGGCAATTAAAGAAATTTGCATTTGAATTTGTGGTGTGTATTTCTTGTACGGGGTGTTTGTGTTTTGGATAAGTTTATGTTTGAGTGCCAATTTTTGATGTATGATGTTTATGAGCTAATTATGATTTTAAGTGTAATCTGTCTGGATGAAGCTTGTCCATGCATCCTTGTTTTGTTTCTGGTTGGCTTTTTGTTTTATAGGATCGGGTGACAAACGAGCACACAGTCCACCTGATGGTAAGTGGTTACTGTGACCCATAGACATCTACATCTATCCTCAATAAAGACTCAAGATGCAGATACGTTGTCACCCGTGAGGACTAAGATGGAATGCCTCTTTGCCAGTAAAAAGGGTCTCCGGTTCTCTACACTCACCATACGAAACACAGCAGCGTTAAGCTGCTATTTTACGCTGGTTTTCTGTGAGAGCGTGGTCCTTCCCCGGTTGAGCCGACCCACTTGTGCTACAACCATAATATAGCTGCAGCATGGCTCTACCACGTAGAAAAAAAGGCTCTACCACGTTGGCTGTTGCACTTGCGGCATTTATTGTTTGTAACTGTGGGATCCTTGATAATATGGTCTCTATAGTTTGTTGTGTTAATTACCTGGTCCTGTGTTGCTATTAAAAATCCTTCCATTTCTGGGAACAGGCTACCTTTTTAAGCCACATGTTTGTTGCATTTGTGTCTATGTGGGGTTGGCTTATGTCGTGTGGGTGTCGCCCATGTAGTAGTTTTTTCTTTCAGTTTTCTATTTTCTTTTTCAGTAGATTTCTATTGTTTGGTTTTTCTAGACCTGTCTGTTCTTCAAGGTTTAGAGGTGTGTAGTTTTTAACGTTGTGAGTTATAGCTTTGTGCATTTCCCTCATTTGCGATTTGGTATGAAAGAATGTTTTTAAGTTGTAGATGTGCTTCTGCCATAGGTGATGGATATCTATTAAATCTCTACCTCCATCTTGTCACTTGATTGTGAGCCGTTCTATTGCAGACTTTGGGTGCAGGTAGTTGTGTTTTGTCAGTGTGGTACGTGTCATTCATACTATTTATTCTATATCCGTTTGGCTCCATTTTATGATTCCAAATGAATATGTTAGAATACGGATTGTGTAAGTGTTAAGGGCTTTTATTAAATGTTTCCCTGTTATTATTATTATCATTATGCACACTTTTTAATAAATTATTTTATATCAACCTATACTGACTACCTACCTAATACTCTTACTCAGTCAATTGGAACAAATTCATCATCCAATGATAACAAAATACATGAAAAACAATGTTTGTATTTGGTTAATGTAAACAATAACATGGGGTCTATTTAAAATGTCAAATGTCTATAGTTTGTTATTTACATTTTCATGCTTGACATAGGTCATGAACTCTTCAACACACTCTATTGTAAAATTAGGAAATATTGAAAGCTATTAAAAATTAACCACCACTCAGAAAAAATATATAGCAATACGGGCTACCAGAGGAGTAGGTAGCCATAGAGTTTTTTCACAATACAGAACTGTTTATCTATACTATTTAACAATGTGTATCTGTTGTTTTGTGCGGGAGGAAATCTGCACACACAAAAACAATCATCTGTCACTACGAAACTCACACACAATAATTAAAACAATAAACTGACAATTCACACACACATAGATATAACAGTATCCCTCGGTGACTCTACTAACAAAACCAAACGGGTCTCACAAATTTAGTCTCTCTACTGAAATTAGAAATAATCCAACAAGACAAGTATGACAGGATCCCTAAACAAAAATATTTTCGGCAAGAAATACATGAAATATCATAAATAAAAATATCATCATACATAAAGTCTCAATCCCAAAAAAAACCTAGAAAACTTATTAGATACTGGATCTGGAACTTTTTCAAAATATACATACATAACTAAAAGCGCACAGCATATTTTTTTGGCTGAGAATGTATATGGGCAAAATTTAGGTGGTAATACATGGCAATGTGATAGTCTGGGCTGATATGCAAATCCCACCTATGTTTGTTACTTTAACAGTGTGACCTGATATAATGAATTAAAGGCAACAACAGTGGATTTAGAAGAATGATGGAGGTTGACAAACTAAATCAAAAAGGATCAGCACTAGACTGCAAAAGAGTTTGGACATACCATAAGGAATGCAGACCAGCAAAGCAAGCTTTGTCTATAAAAAAACTGTAGAATTTCCAAGACACTGATACAGCTCAGCCAGAGTCATAACTGAACATGGTTATGTAATAACAAACATAGGTGTTACAGATAGTTGCTCCCACATACAAGGTTAAAATCTTAGCGTACTGAGGTCGCTTCCTAAGGTCATCAGTAACATCATGGGTTTTGTGAACTTCTTTGAGAAAATTTCTTAGCTCAAATGAGTACATTTTTTGCCCACATGCAATATATGCACTTTATACAGGGAATAGAAAAACCCAGGCAAGTGCAAGTCAGACTAGCACATGAAGGGTTCCGTAATACATGTTTCTAGTAGGGGAAACCCCTTTAATTTTTGCTGCAACAGAAATACATATTTAGTGAAAATTTTGTAGTGTAAATGGTATGGAACCCTAAAAATTAACCCTTTCAAACTAAGCCAAGATGTTTAACTTTCCATAAGAAACTATGATGTCATTTACTGCTATTACCATACAAACAAAGTTTCATTTTGACAACTCGGTAAAAGTATTTCATTTGACAAAAGTGGCCAACCACTCTTATTCAGGTTTATGCTTCAATCTAAATTTTCATTTTACGGTATATGGTACGAAACAGTAATTTTAAAGAATTTTTTTACACACCTGCTTATGCAAATCATTGTGCTGTCGTATCTTGTACTCTAACTCCTGTACTTGTGCTTGTAACCAACACCAACGGGATGCAATTGAAGCTCTTGCCTTTTGCCATGACCATAGTGCCCGTTTCTCTCTGTAATAAAACACATGATAAATTAATCCACATGTAGCAGATTATGTTATATAGCCTGTCATTAATTATCATGTACTAAAGGTTAAAAGACTAAGACATATCCTATATTATAAGAACAGACTACGGCCACCAGGTAAGCTTATACCACCATATCAATAGATGTTCATGTTATGTTTCTAGCAAAGTTTAAGGCCACTGTAATCAATACATTTTAAGTAACTAGGGGTAAGTCATTGTTTTACACACATAATATTACTTTGTTGTATCCTAAGTTTTTGAATTTAATGTATTTAGAATTACTAGGTAACTTTTTAGTAACTTGAAGCATGTGGTGTATACCTTTTACTGATTGTGCAATTAGAGTCTAAGTTAATGTGTGCATACTATTTCTGCATTGTTGAAACAATAATTGGTGTACTTAAATAAATAAATGTTATTATAGCATTCATAAGAAGGCATTTCTATTTCTTGACAAATTTTTATACCACATATATATGTATAAAGAAAAATGTTCCCATATCTGGCCAGTAGAGCATCAGAATCAAATATATACAAACTAATGTAAAAGATAATACAAAGTCACTTAGGACCCTTCCAATACTCCACTTAGAATTTTTCTATACAGTTACAGTTAGAAAATAATATATTCACACTCATGATTAAACTTTTTTCTAATGTAATATATACATAAAAGTAAAATTCCACTGACTGACTGACTGACTGACTGTCTGACTCATCATGAAATCTCTTAAAACTATACACCCGATTGACTTGAAATTCACTATAGTTACTTATTTACATATATAAATACTTACAGTATTTTACTCTCATATCTTTAAATTGAGAACAAGCATCCAAAAACTACAATGCAAAATATATCATAGGTAAACATTCACAAAATATTGATATTATAACACACTGAAAAACTTGTACATTTTTATGTAAAAGCTTTTTGCAAATCTATTACAACAAATTAATAAAATTTCCAACCATTATTCTTGTACCTAATAATCCTTTGTTAGTAGGATGATGCAACATGTTAGTGAAATGGAAATAGAAAGTTATGCAATATTTAAAAAATCTATATGAATAAAATTCCTTACTTACATTTATGTAATAATATAGTGTAGAATGCAATCACAGAGAAAAAAGCAACCATCAGACCAAAATTGGCTATCCATAATCAAAATAATAATCGGGTTAAGTCCTCCAACTACCAACAATTTTAAGACAAAAATATATAGGCTGTTACTTTAACTTTTTAACTGTAGATGAGAGTATAACAATCTTATTAATGTCAGATGTAAAATACCTAAATAGGCAAAGGGCAGCAGTGTCAAAAGTGCAACACGTCTGGTATTGTAATCATTTATTTATTTGACTGTCAAGCAAGAGAATTAAGGCAAACACTCCCTACACAATTGAGATATCCAGCTGTGGATTTCTACAGGCCAACAAAAAAGAAAAATTATAATAATAATAATACATCCTTGCATCCCATTACACCCAATAAAAGTTCACTGCTGAACATAGGCTTCCCCTTAGCCACACCTGACAAGCGAGTTGGCGTCTACAGTTTTATTATTATTTTGTGTTGTTATCAGCAAGATGCTGCTGCCCATCTCCTGTTTCTTTCCTTCTGTCGCCTCTTACAACACCCTCAGGACAATATGGGGTATGGATATTATTACAACACCACTACATGGTTAAATAATAATAGAATCACACAGTAATGAAGAAAAATGAAGCAGTTACAATAAATTTCCCCAACTTCCAGGAGGCCTTTGAATCACTTTTATAGAATGAAAATAACATTTATGAATTAAATTGCCTACAAACACAGTCAGATTTATACTGATATGATAATGTCAAACTAAAGTTGACAAGAAAACTAATGTCTTCTGAATTTGTAGATATCTATATCCAATTGTGGAGACAAGGGCTATTAATGCTGGAAGAATAAAATATACTCATAAAAATACTCACATTGGCATATGTTGCTGGTGAGGGTTATTATAGGTGACAGCTTCATCATTGCTTTCTGCACCCGATGAAGATGCAGTTGCATCAGAGTCTAGTTGATATTTAACCATTGACAGATGTGAACGCAAGGCTCCTGCTGTGTCCTCTAAGCCATTTAATGTTCCTGAAGCAATCCCAATTGATGCAGACTTTGAAGCATCACCCTTTGATGTACTGGCATGAAAATACTTTGGGCCAACAACTGTCTTAGAGGCTGCACTAGCTTGCAATGCGGCAGTAGTCTCTACTTTCTTCAATAAAGCTTTTAAACCCATGGGTCTTCCACCACCATCTTTGCGTGCACCTCGAATGGATTTCTCAAAAGTCTGCACCACTTCTTCTGATATTCTTTTGCCAATAGCTCGAGCTTGTAATATCCTCAAACGCCTCTGCAGGAATGCACATCTACGTTCTAATCTTGCTTGGAGTAATCTTATTTTATCATCAGCTGCATCTCCTTCTGAATCAACAGTTTCAGCCAAATCAAAGCCAGAGAGAGGAAATATTGCGTCAGGGTCACCGGTAGATAGTGCATCGCCGCCAGACTCTAAAGTCTTGATGGCCTGTAGCAAATCAGCCTGAGCAAGATCACTGCTACCTAAATCGACCAAAATTTGCTCCATTTCTTGAGAATCTTTGGCAAGGCTAGGTTGGTTCTGGAGGCCCATGTCTTCTTCCTCCATGTGTATTGCGAGGTTATCGACGGACGCTAACGCCCGTCTTGGATGGGATGGTTTTTCAAGGGTTTCGATCGCGTCGTAGTGATCTCGGAAAGCGACGGAGAGCGCCGGGGCCATGACCCGGGCGCCGCCCGCCGCGGACGCCGCTAAACGCGTCAGGGCGGGCTTCCGAAATGAACCATTTTTGCCTTATGTAATAGCACTGAACACACTTCACAACACTAATACACAACTGCACTGCACTGAACGACAATTCGTAGCGATCATTGTCTGTAATTTTAAGCTCCCGCCTGTTCCACAATAAGCCGAAATTGAAAGGGATTGAGCGGCTCGGCGCGCTTATGAAAACACAATGTTTAACACTTATTACAAACCGGTCTTTGTGTATTTATACAACATGCAAGCATGCTGATTTTTGATGAAAATATACGATAAACAATCAAAATTCGATACAGATAACCACATTATTCGAAATTTTACCCACGTGATAACGAAAAGAGTACGCTAGCGGTCGCAGTTGCTTGTTTCTACACGATATGAAACAGGAAATGATAGACTTCTAAAACACTTTAACGGGAAGCCAATGATGCGTCTCGTTGAATAAATAACACTAAATTAATAATAATTATAATAGTAATCACTGAAATAATGACATTGGTATGTTTTAAATAATGATGACGGATTTTATGCTTCAAAACACTATTCAACTAACAATATAATCGGAGATTATACGTAGCGTAGACCGCACCAAACATTACAAGCTTGGAATATGTTGTGTAAAAGAGATAGCTAACCTGACATAATGGAATGGTACTTGCGCGGTAAAGTCAAATGTGAAATAATAAAATATCTATATTAATTTTACGTAAAGACATTCAAACTTTATGTAATATAAAAAAGTGAAATAAATAAAATAACTAATATGATGCTTGCTGCTAAACTTTTCATATTTTTTTTTAGAAAATGAAACATTCAAATGATAGCATTTTCTTTACAGCCACGCTATAGCTCAACGTTGGCCCTTTTATTGATGAAATTATGACGAAATCTTTATTGAAATTTTATAAACGACTGCATTTCATAACAATAATTTGTAAAATAAATTTAAAAAGATAAATTCAAAGAATTGAATCCTTGAATGCGTAATTTTAAAGATTGACATTAAAAATAAAGCAATAAGCCACTTCCGGTGCATTTACGGGAACAGATACAAATACAATAAACAAATAACGCCAGCAAGCCAGCGAGTATACTATACTCACTTTGCATTTGAATGGAAATATTTTTAAAGTTCTTAGATTTAATATTGTTACTATCGAAATAAATGTAATAATTTAGTTACCTAATATGCAAACTACTATAAATCCAGAACAATATACTTCGTAAATGCGCATTACGTCATTTACGTCACATTACGCTTTTGTCTATTGTTAATGTGTCATTAACTATGATAAAAATTAGTTACACTTTACAAAAAAAAAAGCATTTTTTAATATTATTATGTATTTCAATACATAATCCATATATCTTGTTATTTTCCATAATGTATATATTTTCGAAAATTGTAACGGTTGTCATAGTCACAGACAAACACATTCTTTTGTGTAGTTTTAAAACATTGAGATATGTATTTTAAAATGGTTTTGTTTTTTTTTCAACCTTCAAATATACAGATCATAGATGATTGATGATAATGATGATGGTAAAGCCTGTGATTACATGTCTCAGGTCAAAATTGTGCCAGTTATTTGTTGACAATAGTTAAAATAACAAATAGTGACAATTCATGTTGAATGAAAAGAAAGTACTATTTCTCATAAGCCTATTAAGTACTTACTTAAAAGTATTACAATAACTAGAGAAAACATCAATAGAATTATGAAGACATGAAAAGTTATAAAATTGGTGTTATAATGCATTTATGAATTAATTATTTCGATGAAATCTATTCCTCACATGTAACATATGATGCAAGTACTTAGATTAATAATTAAAAGAAATAATAAAAAATGTAAAGGAACAAATATCATTGTGTATAAGAATGAAACATGAATGAAACATTCTAAGTAATTGAAAATTATTTTATCAACTCAAAATACTATTTAACTTTAAATTTATGTCATATCTATAAATATATCTACTATAATATGGTACTACAGAAAATTACCGTTCATTTCTTTGAAGACTGGGTATAATACGTAATAGATTTTAATTTATCAGAAAGATTAACATGTTCTTACCTTTGCTTTAAATTATATAATTCCATATCTTTAATTGTTCCAGTGCTTGAAGTTTTCATGACCAATAAGTTTTACCTACAATTAAAATAAATAAAACATTATATACTTTTACAATTATTATGAGAAGAATGATATGAAAGTATTTTATTAATGTTAGTTGTTAGAAAATAATGTTATTTTATTTTCTACTGGCTAAGATTTCATTACCCATTTTAAATGTGTTTTACATTTTTAACATGTCGAAGCACATATTAGTCATACTTGTTATTATTTATATAAAACAACTTTTATTTCTCAAAGTAATATTTAGATAATTTTTATTTATCATCTACATTAGAACTTTTGTTTTATATCTATAATTAATATTTCTACATTTGAACTCAAACATATTAAATTGACATTATGTGATATGTTATTGAATGAAATGATAATTGATGCTACTCTATTAACCTAATAATTGCATTATTTTATGTCTTGTAAATTTTAAGCACATAAAAACAGTAACCTTATAGTTGATTGTTCTAATATGTTAGATTATAATGTACCTCTATGCAGTATCTAGTACATTTGTATATATTTTTCTTGCTAAAAGAAAAATTAACAGTTTGAAGTTTTTATTAGTGGCACCATGGAAATAATGGAATCAATATAACACTACACTATTAATCAATAAAAATAAATAGATATAAAAACTTAATCTTTAATGACTTTAAATTAACAAAGTTTATTTTATCTTATTATGGCAATTATATTATACCAAAATTGAGCTTGAAAGTGATGAACATTTGTATTAAGTCAGTGATATTAAAAAGAAAATTGTGTATCTAGTTCAAGATTTAAACTCATTACTAGCTCTGATTTTGAGTCCATGCCATTACTTCTTTTGGTATAATTGTGAAGTTATAATTTAGAACATTGGTAAAACACAAAACATGAACATTTTATTTACAAATATCTATAAAAATACCTTTAAACAAAATTTATATTATTGTAAAAATGTAATATGCCTTTCCATAAGAAAAACACATTCCATCAGAATTCATATATTTTTAAAAGCTTAAATATGGTTAGTGTTTTACAATAATTAATAGATAAATTAGATTACATATGTACCATTTTTCCTTAAAATTTATTATAACCAAGGCACTAACAAACCATTTCATAACTTTCAAGAACTATCATATTAGGGACTAGAGATTAATATTAATAAAAACATAAATACTAGTAAATAAATTAACATAAATTACAAAATAATCTAAGTTATATCACAACTTAATATATTGTGAATAAATGCATTGTTTTTAATGTTATAAATAAAATTACATTATTGTAAATTACCTTGCCTTTGCACGCAACGACTACGTAGGGAGGGAAGTGAGGAACGAGGATGAGGATATACGGTTGTGTATTGTTGCGAAAAATTCGTCCTTATGACAACTTTATAAATATAATAAAGTATGTTCTGTTATTTCTAAACCATGCAAATAAAGAGATTTTTAGGATGAAATATATTTTTATCGTATATACTCTTCTTTTGCCTTGTGTATGTTGGATAAGTTCACTTCACTGATCAAGTTGATAAGTTGTAACGAATGAAAAAGTATGTTATTAATTTTAAAGAATTTAATTTAATTTTTTTAATGAATGGATAATTATTAGTAATAATATTACAGTAAGCTTTTACAATAATTATTGTACTACTATATTACTAAGTACTATTAATTTTTCGTAATCACCTACTAACAAGCGTTTTTTTAGCTCCTGATTCTGATAACATAGCAAGTTATAAATTATTTTTTATTAATAAAAATAGAAATATAATGAGTAATATTATGGTATTACAAAAGGTATACAAAATTACACACGAAATTTTTCTATTTTTTTCAAGATAAAATTGTTTTTTATGCATTTTTTTGCGATTCATGTTTTATTTGAATACATTTTTGCTCATAATTTCTCATTTATTAGATACAATCTAAATTAGTCTTTTATATAATTGTCACAAAAATTTACTTATGAATTCTATTGGCTGTATTTTATAAATATAATGTAAATAAATAACCGCTTGCAAAACGCTCGTTCGTTTTATAAATTTATAATTTATTATCTGTTGTATTAGTTCCTATCTGTATTAAAAGTAATCTGTGGGTCTGATGTTTAATCTATATTGTATTCTGTTGGTATTGGTAGGGGTGTCCACTTTGAAAATACATCGATGTTTTTTTTCGATGTGATGCATCGAAACTGTGCATCGATATATTCCGATGCATCGGTTAAAAACATCGATGTTTTTTCAACATCGAGTACTTTTTCTGACTTCAAACAACCGACAATTTTGAATGATATACTACTCTTACATCAGTACTGTCTGCCCGCACGCCTTTTGTGAGTGTGTATGTGTATTCAAGGATGTTAGTTAGATAGATAGATATTTTTAATCGCAGGACACACAAAGTGTCTTATTCGTAAGAACTAATATATTGTTAACAGACGTAAATATTCGTAGTTATTTATTTGTATTATTTATATTTGTATGTTGATGTGTATATATGTATGTATACGTCTGTATGCATATATTTGTATATATGCATAAATAGGAGATATTTCTATAGTATATTTGTTTTATATATTTGTATAATTAATATATAACTTTCAAGTTAATTATCATTTTTATTTTGTTATTATTTTATACTGCTACACCTACGTCAAATTCTCGTGGGTTGACTGGTAGATTTTTTTTTGTATTATTCCCTTTGTATTCTTTAATATTAAGGAATGCAATAAAGAATAAATAAATTACTAAATGGACGGCGGATCTAGAACAAAATTCACGAAAAATGTGTCCCGCGTCAACCTATACAAACGTATTATATATAT